TTGGACTAATTTTGACACAATTGTTTGCCAATTATTGAAATCCTAGTATTTCCGTGCAAAGTAAAGCAGTTTGACCTGGAGAAAAATCAATCATCCATATACTAGTAGTTCATTGAATTTTCTCTCCCCAAACACATTCTCTCTCTCCATAAGAAATTTTGGATATGCAGTCACAATATTTAGTTTCATCCTAAGTCATTGATTTACCTTTCCTAAAGTTACGACATAACTTAGGAATATCCTAAGATAAGAAACAGGTTAGTGAAACATATAAGTAATGAACTTAGGAAAAAGTTCCTTCCTAAGAGATAGTCCTAAGTAGGCTTTGTGAAATGGGCCCCTGGCATTTTCATCATGATTTCAAAAGCATGCACACAGTGCCTGAACAATTATAGTAGAAAAATACAGTGGGGCTTGTAAATTTAGGTTTGCACCAATCCAATATGGGGATTATGTTTATTATACCCCCGCTTGAAAAGCGGGAGGGTATATAGAAATCCGTATTTCCGTCCGTCTGTTACGCTTTGGGGTACGTACCCATCTCTTATCCGCAACTCCTCTCAATTACCACTGAAGGAAATTTAATGAAACTTTCACAGGATCTTTATTACATATTGCCATTGTGCACCTCTTATTTTACTTTTTGATCTGACATATATTTTGGATTTTCCAGAGGAAAACATGGACACAGCCATTTTATTCATATGGGTGGGGGGGGGGGGGGTATATCATTTAGTGAGCTCATTGCTCATAGTACCTCTAGTTTTTTAGCAGTTTTTATTCATTTCTTTCTCAGTATTTTGAAACCTGGCTAAAACATTTTCTAAAACATAATCTTATCTGAGGTTGATTCACAGAATATCTTACTAAAAAAAATAATTTTCCTCTCTTTCTCTCTGTTTTGTTTGGCTATATTTATAAGTTCTTGTTTCCTGTCGCAAAGAAAAAAAATGGAGAAGGAGACATGGAGTCACTGATATAAATATCTATAATATTGTATAAAGTTCTAACAAAATTAATAAACCCATCAAATCCCCCCAAAATTTAATTTAGGTTTCATAGTCTTAAAAAAATAGGGAATTTTTTCACTTTTTTTTTTGGTGTTAATAGCTTAAATTTAATTCTTATGTTTGTAAACTGTCATTATTGATGGACAAATATGTACAATACTGATATGCGTATCACATGAACAACGCTTGCTCTTGTTTTTTTTTTTTTTTTTTTTTTTTTTTTTTACATGTTCTGGCTTAAGGAAGAATGCCACACCATTTTATATGTATATATTTTTTTTTGTAAAACTTGATTGTAAAAAAATGTTATTTACATGCCATAGGTGCTTGATGTTTTAAACTTTCTTCATTTTCATAAAAAATTACTTTGTATAATACATAGTGGATTTTTTATTTATGCAAAAGAAAGGTTTAAAACATCAAGTGCCTGTGTTACATGCTGTAGTAAGGAAGGGGGTCACATACTTTTTAAATTTAACAAATGAATCAATATTTTTTTAAAATTTGTTATTCAAAACCTTTATTCCAAGGGGGGAAATGGTGAAAAATATGTACATGCAATGTAGACCAAAATCTGGTTCAAAATAATTGTGAACCCTAGCTCCTCCAAACAAGTTTACCTCATTGCAAATTAAAAGACCCGTTCTACTTTTCACACCTTTCCTGAACATGACAAAAGAACTGTATATTTCTTGTATATTCTATGCGAATTGGAAGGTTTTACAGTGTGACACCTGGCCAGGAGAACAATAAACATGTGACTTCATAGGTACGTGTATACCAGGTGGATTATCACCTGATCTTCCTCAGATTCCATAGATCTAATTTATACAGTACACATACAACAGCATTTCAGTTGACCCCCACCCCTCCACAACATATTTCATTAATTTTCCTATTTGCACAACTGCCTCTATACATTATTTGCTGTAAATATAAAATTAGCTCATATCCTAAAGTAATCCCCAAAAAGTAGATGAACTTTATTTATAAAAGTAATCTTATTTGTTAACTTTAATTTTTTCTTTTTAAATGTAATATTTATTGTCAAAATTTCTTTGTGTTCATTACCAAAAAATTAAGCAGTAATTTATTATGATCGCATGATATAATCATGATCTAAGACTAAGTCATCTTTTAGATGAAACAAACATTAATATAGAGTTTCAATTTCTACTTGAGGGGGGGGGGGGGGGATTTAAACTTTTTACTATGAGATAGATTCTTTCTAATTAATGTTTTTAAACTTAAATTTGCACACTTATTCACTTTATTTCTGTAAAAATGATTAACAAATCAGAGGCCAGAGGCATATGCTTTTAAATTCAAAATACTTGCAATTGTAACCTTAAAAATTGCATTAATTGAAAATTGTTTACACCAATGTCAAAAGTTTTGCACATGCTGCTGCATATATGTACCTGTAACTGTACGCATTCTAAAATGTATCAAGTTTTCAATATCTTTTATTCCATAATTAATATATTTTCTATAATATATTGCTTACTAGATTTTTTAAATGCAGATCATGAATTTTGTACATACTATATGTATATACATATATATGCATATACATGTGTATAATCAAAATTTTAAAAATCCCAATCAGGACCATTCTAAATCCGTCAACTACAGTACATCACATAATTAATTTGTTGCACAAAATTCATTATTAGTTTTAATTTATTAAACATCTATGTTTGAAAGAAATGTTTTTTGTTTTTTGTTTTTTTTTTTGTTTTTGTTTGTTTGTTTTGTTTTTTTTTGCAATTTGGGTGAAAATTAATTTAATTCTCTTCTTTCCTTCTATTTTCTACTTAATAATTATTCTCTTCTTTTTATGATACCTATGTAGAAGAATAAAATGCATGCTATATATAAAAACTAACACCTAAGTTCACCTGCTCGTTACATATAGCTGCAAGACTGCAGCTCTGATCAGAAAAATTGGGATGGAAAACCTAGAGCTACAGTACCATCCATTGAAAAAAAAACTTTTAAAAGTCTGTTATTTTCTCTATTTCTTTCTCCGTTTACATGCATTTAAACTAGCTCCCACCTAAAAATTTCACTGGACTTGATTTTTTTGCAACTTAATTCAACTGCAAAACATTTCCCAAACCCAATGTTTACGTACCTTATGAGCCTTAAATTTAGATTATCAAAATTTTCACAGATTTATATACACATGACGTATTACAGGGGTACGTGTATATACTGCTATATTTAAGAGCTACATTGAAAGAACATATAAATGTCCTATGCCAAACCTGATCTAGAATTTAGTTTAATTTTTAAAAAAAAAAAGAAAAGAAAAATAATTTCCTCTAATCCAAAGTACTCAATCAATTCATGAGACTTAAAAAAAATCAGGTCGGCGGATCCGTAAACCAAGAAATAAAAAAAATGTCACCTTCTATATGATCAATCAGAAATTTTGAACCAAGTCAAAAAGTTTTATCAAGATTTTTATTCTAATACAGATTATGAACTGATTGATATTGATTTAGAAGAAATTATTAACTTAACTGAAATTCCAAAATTAGATAAAATCACCTCTTTAATTTTTCTGGAGTGATCTGAAAGTCTATGTACATTATGCGAGCTATAAATTGTATATTGTCAAAAAAAAAAAGAAATTTCTATTTCACGAAGACTAGGGATAATTTCATGCATACCTAATGGGAATAAACCAAGACAATTTTTGAAAAATTGGAGACCATAACTCTACTGAATTACAGAATAAAATATACTCTGAATCTTTTGATTTCAGACACTCAAACTGAATTCCTAAAAGGAAGATATCTTGGTGAAAACACCAGATTTATTTATGATTTAATGACATACACAGAAGCTAAAAATACACCAGGATTGTTGGTTTTAATTACTTTAAATCGATTTTGAAAAACCTTTTGATTCAATTTCATTGCTCATGGTCTTTTATTTATAAAGTATTGAACTATGTTAGTTTTGGAAATAATATAATTAATTGGATAAAAATTCTTAATACAAATTTTAAAGCATCTGAGTTTTGCAATGCAGATTTTTATCAGAACAAGTGACATATTATATTCATGGTGATGGGAGGGGCTTAAATAAAAAAAAATCTCTGTGCTGGTAAAAATCTCAAATCTACCAGCCCATGATAGCAGGGACCTATATACTTTTGTTCAAAAACGTATTAAATGATCTGTTCAAAGTACTAGTACTATTTACAAAAATATTAATAAAGTTTAGAATAACGTTGTTTAGAAATTACTATATAACTTTAATTTACTAATCAAAATTGAATTGGATAAGATAAATACAGTGTATAGGGTAATTTAAATTAGTCTGGCCTGAAATGGAAGTAAATGATCACACAATCCAGCATGATCACAATGATTTGATCAGTGTGTATAGTACACACCATCAGGTACTGTTAGTAGAGTTTGTGGGTACAGGTAAATCATTTGCGATAGGTATACAGTATCAGGTGTGTCATGCAATGCTCAAGTCTGGAATATAATTATCAGTGTCTAGCTAATTAACTTCAAAAATCTGGACTATTATATCATAATTAAAGGTAAGAAGCTGACTTTTACCCTCTTAAATACTTACATGAGTGTTTTTTTTTTTGTATGTAGACCTTTGAAGCCATAGGTCATGATCATGCTAATATGAATTAAACATTTTAAGTTATGAAAATGTCAATTGTTGTGATTTTGTAGGCATAGTTCCCTCTGTACCCTGTTTAAATTCAAAACCCAAATAGTTTTAGGATAAAAGTTGAAAAGGTTTATTACTGTTAATCATGTTAATAATAAGTAACCACTGTACCCATTGTAACCCGGCTACATTGACAGTCCTTCAGAAATTTTCTACTTTCATTTTCCAATGGTTTTATACTGTACCCTAATTGTAACCTTATTGGTAAAGGATAAATAGAGGTGTACCCTAGGGTACAAAAGTATCACCTAAAAACGCAGTACCAATTTCCTGCCATATATGGTTTGTGTGATGGATTTGTTTGAAAGTGATTTAATATTTTAGATTAAGGTATTTTTTTTTCTAATTATCGCTCATATACAGTAGCTTAAGCCTTTGCATATACAGATAGGACAGATAGATATATAAAAGACCCTATGAAAATGGATAAGAATAAGAGATTTTTTTTAATTTACCAAAAAAGTACTGCACTATTGCAGAATTATTTACAGTGATTTGTTATTTGAATATTAAATTAATATTGTATTTCTGTTGATTTTTTTGTACAATGTTAAATGCTGAAGCAAAGTTTGTTTCTTTGTTTTTAACCTTGATACTTAATCCCCTTTTAGCTCACTGGTATGAAACACAAACTGATAAATCTCCTCCTTTTTAGAAATCTGAAATAAAAGTAAAAAAAAATGCCAGCAGCAAGTAGAAGCAATCCTTGGAGAATCCAACCAAAGCCAGTTCCTGTTCCTTATGATAAAACTGCTAAGATAGCAGCAAGGAGCTTGGCAACTTACAAAACACAGGTTCCCTCTCCAAAAGATGCCAGGGAGGAAAAATACAGACGGCGCCAGTCTCAGCTTACATCCCAGGGCTACTTTGCTGCTCCAAATGTGCCATACAAAGGACTGGGGGACCCGTTCTATTTGGATGAGCAGAGGATGATTCTTCATGCTCTGGGACAGTGGGATAGTGTAAGTTTATGTTTATTGAATCCATGTATTAGTTTTTTTAACTCTGGTACTCCTGCAATGACTTATTCAAAAACATGCACATCTTTAAGTTTCGTACTTGTAATTTTTTTCATCAGTGCTCAGATTGAGAATCAAAATGTTAACTCAGTTACTTGCTGAAATCTGTTTTTATTTAATACATATGTTGAAGATAGTTGATAGAAATACTTCTACATGTGTATTGATTTTTTAAAGACAATTGCAGTCAAATTACTTAATAAAAAAATGCTTTAAGACCATAAGTGAATGACAGCTGGCTTAATTTGTTATTGATTTTTTAAGGACAATTATGATATTTGCTGTCCCTATTCTAAATTGATATCAAGTATAGATTGTAATTATCTTTTGTTAATATCAGATGAGATTCATGTTCTGTTGAGGAGTTAAAGAGAACTGGAAATTGATTTGTGTGTAGATTAAAAAGCATCCTGAAAAATTTATACATGATTCTGCAGATTTGGCAAATCAATGATATGAAGAAAAACTGTATTTGTATTAGATTTTTTTTAAATCAATCAATATGATTTTCTTTCTCATTTTCACTCATTTTAAAATATGGTAAAATCCATGAGCTAAAATAAATTTCATTTCTTTTCTCAAATATTTGATACTTATATATCAATAGGCTTTTTATTTTGCTCACAAGAGCTGTCAAAGCTTATTTTTCTGTCAATTGATCAAGATAACACACTTTCATTAGGTTTGCTGGGCTATTTAAATTTGGCCGTTTTATCTTGTTTATTACTTCAAAAGCTTGTAAAATTGAAAGATTGATAGAGTATTGTGCAGAATAAATCTCAATGGCTAGTGTTTAAGTTTGACAAATAAGGTTTCTCCCTATAGAGTTTTAGTCTCTGTTTTGAAATTGTGTCAATAAATCTAAAGTGAAAGGGGAAGGGAACACTTTAAACTGTTTGTTCTTTTTATCGGTACTGCCATTGACAAGTACCAAGTATAGGGGCTATAAAAAAAATTATGAGGCATTACTTATAAGTGTATCTTTTTTAGCTTGTTTTGTCTACTCAGCAAGAGAGTAATGTATGCACCTTTTTTAACTTGCAGAGAAATTATTTTTTTATGTGCACAATGCAGTAGAAACATTTATTGTAGTATTCTGTTGAAAGGGAAGAGTCTAGTCTTTAAAATGCTTGTGCATGTTGACTAGAAGACAGTCAAGTGCAATTCCAATGACATGTATGATGCTGTTTATGAAGCACATGAAATATTGCCATTTTGATGATGGGAAAAAAAAGAAAAGAAAATTAAAATTAAAATAACTAGGTTAAATAAGTGAATGCATTCAGAAAATATTGACACATTTTTTTTCATTTTATTTGAAGTAATGATTGGAAATACATGTACCTCAAATCAAATATAAAATAAGGAGAAAAGAAATCCTGAACAAGTATAGAAGTATCATTATAAAGACTGCAATTGACTTTAGGAAAATTTTAAATTAAAGAAACTACCATTTATAGATATGATATATCTTGAATTAAAAGTAAGCTGTACATGCATGATATCAAACTCTTATAGTACTAAAATTTAGTACATGGCATGTTCTCTCATATTGTAATATACAGTGCTCAAATATTGTAGATGAGGATGTCAATCAATATTTTGTTACATGTAATTCTATCTGGATGATACACTATTTTATGAAGATTTATATTTAAGTCATGATAAATTGATGTGATTTTCAATGTTTATTATTATTTGAGTGGACAGATGCAATTTAATCCTGTGAAGGTATTATATGTGAAATAATTTGTTAGTTATTAACCTTAAATTAGCTTATTTTGAAAATCTCATTCTAACTTATGAAAAATGATAAGCATGGAAAAAGTCCTTTATGAACTGTACATCGACTGCAATTGTTAATACCAGCAAATAATACAGATATTTAATAAATGCAACACCAGGTTCAATTGGTTTAAGTCAAAGCTTTTTAAAAATTTCAACAAATCCACTTGTCATTAAACTGTTTAATAATAATCTCCTTAATAAAATTAAATAAAGAATGAAAAATGCATTTTACCTTTAATCTTGATTCAGTTTCGTTATGTTTGCTAAGTGGATAATAAAACATCGGCCAATCCTAACAATAAGAATATCCTAGCTATAGGCAAGCATTAATTAAAGCATGAACATTTTTAACTTTTGCATGCATACGGGAAAGTCAGTAAACAGTCTACAGTGTATTTAAAAACATTCATTTAGTTTTTAAATGCATTATTTATTTGCATGCTAGAATTAATCTCATGTTCAATATAGTCATAACCATAAGAATTAAATACAAGATTCTAATCTTGAAATTAAGTTATCAGACGGTATTAATACTTACTATAATGGTTTAACTCCGTATCTCTTATTTTTCATCATGTTGCAATATAAATGATTATATCAAAATACAGTGTACTAGAGAATGAGTAAATTTCCCTTTTTTTTGCATCTATTACTTCACAAATATTTACTTCAAATTAAAAATTGAAAAGAGCAAATACATGTGTCCACAAGGGAGCAATGAAGATTTGGTAGAATATTAGAAATCAGCAGAATTTGACAACTCTTGTGGGTCTTTACATTGGCATAACCCATATATCAGAATACCGGTATTATTTTGTTAAATGAAGCAATAAAAATGGTCAGTTTTGTCTGTAAGATATCTCTGTGATGCAAGTAAAATCTAACACTTACAGAAATATGATGAGGAGACGAGCAGTAGCAGTGATGAAGACGAATATGACATCTCAGCTGAACTCCAGCAACAAAAGAAACAGGTATAACAGTTTGTAAATTTCAAGAGGTATTCCAAAATAAAAAAATAAATACTCTCAACAGGGTACATATACTCTAAAGTTGACAATTTTTGTCCTAAGTATGTGTACTAGTATTTACACTTTATTAAAAGTTGCAGAGAATAAAATGACAAAATTTGGAATACCCTGGTAATTCTTTCAAAAATGAGACTGCCAAAACTACAACTACTGTTTATGGGGAATATTAAAATATCTATAACTCCTAGCTGTTCATTTGATATTGTTGGTTTCCTTGTAAAACCTTGCTGTTATATCTACATTGCAGGTGTCTGCAGCTTCCTTTGTTCTCAGGAGGTCCAAAAAAGACATGAACACACTACAAAGGGAAGTCATCCATGGACGGTAAGCATTTTTGTAGACTTTTGTAAGAGTCTTGGTCAAAGTGAAAAATGAAAAAAAAATAAACTAAAGTAGTTGTCAACTAGTTGATGGTTTAAAATAAGCTTCATTTGGATCTCTTTTGGCAGCAGACCTACCATAAAGGGGAGAAAAAGAATTTCAAGTTTAAAATGTGTGTTTTTTTTCTTCAAATTTTACAAAGAATGTATATTTGAAGATTTTTTTATCTTTTTTAGGAATATGATTCGAAATGTTAAACTTGGACATGGATTATTTGATCTTATAAAATCTGAACAAGCAGCCAAGGTATAAAGCAACTAGTTTCTTTTTCAAAAATATTGTTTTGCTACCAGTATTTATCTTATGATCTAACACAAAACTTTGTATTATCAGTGTTTTACCTTTATTTCAAAGTAAAGGGTTAGAGATCAGTTGTAACAGGCTATAGACTGAGGTTTATGAACAGAATCTCTGTTGATCTTACAAAAAAAATTATTTCAAAGTGGCATTTTTGTCAATTGAAGCAGTCAATTTGGCCAGAAGCTGGTTCTTAAGGGAAAACACTATATTAGTAAAATTATTGGTCCTGTAAATGTCTTTATGCATGCCTTATTAATTTATGCTGTATATATTTGCTATTTCTGTGATATTTTTAGCTGTGATAGTTGGTTTAAGAGCTCTACAGAGCTCATGTTATTTGTTGCTCACTGTACAAAATGCCATCCCTAGATAAAATTTACTTTAACTTACTTATTTACTTTTTCCTATAATTCAATTTTTTATTTTAGCAACAATCAGAAAATGAGATGAATCAGAAGAGGGCAGAGCTAATGAAGAGTGAGTGGCAGCCGCCCAAACTGGATTCCTCCTCGGAGGAGTCGGATGAGGAGTTTGAGGAGGACGTGGAGTTATCCAGGTGAGGACAGAGGAGGAGCCATGTAATCCAGCTGGTCATATAATCCAGTCGGATTACATGTTCCACGGGGTTCTGTTGTTTACTTTTATTTATGTTTGTTGCGTGCATGGATTGAAGAAAAGAGAGGAGATATATTTATTCAGAGTTTGAGGTTTTAAAAATTTTGAGCTTTTATAAGTATATTGCAGTTTTATGAACTTTAAAGAGTGGATGTTTTGTTATTTTCCAATTACGTAGTGACCTGGCTGGGTACAGTTAAATCAACTTGCTTATCAATATTCGCCTCTGTAATTGGGCGATTTTTTGCATTGAAATATAATTAAAAACAGAGTTACCTACCCTTATTTTACTCAGAAGTAAACTGATGGCATGATACATCATCGCTCCCTAATGGCTTTCTATGCAAAAATTCATTGTGTTAAATGACTCTACCCAGCCAGATTATAATCTCTCAATACTTGACATTTGGAATTGTTGTATGAGTTGTTTGCAAAAGAGTCACTGTTGTTTGAGGTGCTTCAGAATATAATGGAGTAAATACTGGCCAAAATCATCATCTGTAGACAACAAAGAGAGAAAAAACTAATACAGTAAAACTCGGTTATAACGAAGTCACAGGGACCTATGAAATTACTTCGCTATAACCGTAATTCGTTATAACCGTATAAGAAAGTCATTAAATTTATACAGCTGGGGATTCAAGATGACTTCGTTATAACCGTAAATTTGCAATATCCGTGTTCGTACTAAACGAGTTTTGCTGTACATACAGTAAAACATGGTTACAGCTAATACACTTAAAATGCTTAAAAGGAAGTGAAGTTTTAGGAATGTAATTAAAATTGTGAAATGGAAACAACATTCATTTGAACCCATACTTTATAAAAAAATTTTTTTTAGATATCCAAGGTTTATAAATAAAATTTTGGAATAATTAATTTTTTTCTAATTTACTCTGCATAATAAGACACACTTAAAATATTTCTCTGGTAATTTACATATTGTTGCTTGCAATACTAAAGTTAATTGATAATTTATAAAGTTAAAAAAAAAAGATAGGTAAAACATATGGCCAGTCTTTCTACTTCTTTGCTTTAACACAAGAGATTTGATTGTTGATGTTTTCTGGGTATTTGTTTTTACAATTAGCTTCATGAAACACACAGAGATTAAGGAGCTGACGGACGAGGAGGATCCAAAGTCCGACTCTGAGTCCCCTGACCCCAGGGGACGGGTGTCCTTCCATCGGTAAAGTTCTCAGCTGTGGGTGACTGATCTGATAGTTTACTTTTTGAATTATCCGGCTTACATTAGTTGTGTAATGATAATATGAGTTTTCTCTTGCTTGCTATAGCACTAAATTGTTTTCCATTACTTGTATTTTTTTTTTAAATTGATATATAACTCTCTCTTATAATTTACATGTACAGTGTATCATCATAGTTAATGGAATGGAAATAAATGTGCATGTAGATATATTCAGATATACATGAACCAGTTTTTCTTAGTCATCTGAAAAAATAAGATATTTTAATACATGTATGATTTTAAATTTATAATTGTTTAATCTGAAAGATCAATATCCAAGTTAAGTATTTAATAATCACTCGTGACTGAATACATAAATTAAAGTATTGAACAAAGATAGTCTTATATTAAGCAGAATTCTTTCTAAATAAGTATAAATCTATTAATACCTTTATTTATTTTAGTCATAGGGAGGAGGATGAAGAAACTGAGCTGGGAATTTCCCGTTCCCTGACTACCACCCCCAGATCCCCAGGGAGAAGGAAAAAAATCAAGGCCCCTCGTCCTTATACCCCCCAACACACTAACATCATAGAAACCAAAGAAAACATAGCAAAGTAAATATATATATTCCAATTGATTTTTAAGAAAATGGCCTTAATTTTTGTGTTTTGTAAGCTGAAATATTTATGTTCATGTATTTCTACTAGTATTCAGGTTTGGAGATATCTAAATTTACATATAGCAACAAAAAAAAACTGTCATAAAGCTTGGTCCATCCATTAAAATTTACTTATTTTAAGCATTTATTTGATGTTTTAGAGATGCATTTTTCCGGCAACTTTGTGCTTTGCATTGGATTTTAGAGGCAATGGCTCTACATGCCAGAACAGGGGGAGATAACTCTATCACGATGTCTCCAATCACATCTAGCTGGAAGTTAAAGTAAGTCCTTATCTAATTGATTTTTAAAAAAAATTCAAATTGTAAACTGTAGATTGATTCCTTATATTTTGCGAGTACTTTTTATCGCAAATTTGCTCTCCAACATCAAAACACGAGAATGATAATTCGTGAATGGACGTTTGATCAAGAGCTTTTACATAAATTTCACAACCATAAAAATAAAGGCGAGTAATTTTATTTTGCGATTGGTGCGTCTTGCGAAATTACACAATAATTAATTCCACGCGTATATATTTAGGAATCTACAGTACTGTACGTGTCATGAAGGATTTCTGAATGTAGGATACCAAAAATTTAAAGCTATACATGTTTAGATTACCAGTAACATAGGAAATGATTATTTGATATTTCATGAATTCTTTTAATTTATAGTGAAATTGGAGGCACCAAAACTTTTCCAAGAGATCATGAAGGAATGACATGGAAAGAATTGGTCAACCTGGAAATATCTCCTAAAGTACCAGTAAGTCACATTTAGAAAGCATAATGGTACATGTATTACAAAGATTCTGGGTGAAAGTTAAAGCTGGAACTATTACTAAAACATGCTTTGTGCCTTAAAACAAATCTTTAATTACATAATCTGAAGTTTTAGTCAGTATTATCACAGTTTCTTGAAAACCAGAACAAAATAACATTTATTAATACTAATATTCTAAAATAAAAAATCAGAAAGATGCACAAACTTTAAGGTTTTCAATTCATTTTTAGCTCACCTCAACGAGTTGGGGGGAGCTTATGTAATACCCTCGGCGTCGGTGTCGGCATCGGCGTCCCGGGTTAAGGTTAAGTTTTTTGGAGCAGTTTTCTTTTTAAGTACTTCTATGTCCTATATTGATTAGACATGCATGGAAGATGTTTCTAGTGTGTTTCATTGTACCAGTCAAAGTTTCAGGTGCTGCAATTTCAGCAAAGGAATGACCAGGTTAATGTTTATGGAGCAGGTTAACATTTTTGGTGCAGTTTTTGGTGTAGGTCTCATTTCTGAGTAACTATAAGCCCTATGTTGACCAAACTTGCATGGATGGTACATCATCTTAGGATGCATACTACCAGACTTGCTTTGGATGCTGAATCTGACCTACATTTTCCAGTTGAGTGAACAGGTTAAAGTTTTTGGTGCAGGTTTCATTTTGAAGATACTACCAGCCTGAACAGGTTAAAGTTTTTGTTGCAGGTTTCATTTCCAAGTTACTATGAGACATATAATGACCAAACTTGCATGGATGGTACATCTTAGGATGCATACTACCAGTCTTGCTTCGGATGCTGAATCTGACCTACATTTTCCAGTTGAGTGAACAGGTTAAAGTTTTTGGTGCAGGTTTCATTTCCAAGTTACTATGAGACATATAATGACCAAACTTAGGATGCATATAACAAGACTTGCTTTGGATGCTGAATCTGACCTACATTTTCCGGTTGAGTGAACAGGTTAAAATTTTTGGTGCAGGTTTCATTTCCAAGGTACTATGAACCCTATAATGACTAAACTTGCATGGATGGTACATCTTATGATGCATACTACCAGACTTGCTTCGGATGCTGAATCTGACCTACATTTTCTGGACGAGTAAACAGGTTAAAGTTTATGGTGCAGGATTCATTTCCAAGTAACTTTGAGCTCTATAATGACCAAACTTGCATGGATGGTACATCTAAGGGTGCATTCTACTAGGCTGGCTTCAGAAGCTGAATCGGACCTACATTTTCAGGATTAGTGAAAAGGTTAGTTTTTTTTTATACAGGTTTCATTTCCAAGTAACTTTGAGCTCTATGTTGAACAAACTTGCATGAATGATACATCTTAGGGTGCACACTAATGGACTTGCTTCAGATGCTGAATTTGACATACATTTTCCAGATAATAGACCTCGTAAAAGTTATGGGTGCAGGTCTATCACGAAGAAACCAGAAGGCTTATATAAACCAAAGTTGCACAAATGATGCATCAAGGGATGAAAACTCTCAATCTTGCTTCAGATGCTGGATTTTAATTACATTTTCGTGATGAAGAACAAGTTTGATGTTTTATAGGTCTATTCCAAAGTATCAAAATCAAAATTGCATAAATTTTGCATTTTTGGATGTACACTTTTTGTTGGTTGATTGTGTGACTTAATTTGCCTTACTTAAAGACAACATTCGTTGAGGTGAGCTTTGTAATCTCTGATTACCTATGTTTTAATAATGTCCTTATCAGATAATTAATTTCAATTTTTTGCATACTAGGCCATCAAGAGGAAAAGCACAAGAGTAACTAACATGAAAAGGCAGCCAGGAAGCCACCGAAATAGTGTGTTCTCTAACTTTCTGGGAATGGCTAACGTGTCCGGGTCCACTAATTTACGAGTCAGCAGTTCCCTAGACAACAGCGTGGATGAAAGTATGGGATCCACGTCTAAAGTGGACGGGAAAGAGAAGGAGGAAGAGGATGATGGGAAATATGTCAGTAAGTGTCTTACTTAATCCCGTATTTTATTGGTCTCTTGAAAAACCCAGCATCCATTTGATACACTTACCATTTTGTGAGATACCATACCACATTTCCAATCTCTATCATTTTTGGAACACAATTCATCCATTCTTCATGCTATAACAAGATTATAACTTTATCTGTTAATGGCATGTTTATTTTCCTGTGTTTAGGTATATTTAAGTATCTGAATGAAGACATCTCCACAAAGCTGTATGAGGATGATGAAACTCAGGAACCTGTTCACCCTGTCAGAGTCAGGAAGGAGCACAAAAAAGACAAAAGGTAGCTTCATCCTTAAAGACTATCATACCTTATAAACCTTATTAGAAGCATTTTGTAGCATTTTTGGAGGAAATATTTGATAAAGCTCATCCTCATGTAATATGTGTGAAGACTGGATGTTTCTATTCACAGGGGTAAAGATGGAGAACATTCTCCAAAGAAATCACCAAGGAAATCAGCTGACCCAGGGGTAAGTTGTAGGAAAAAAAAAACACGATAATGCTCTTAGATTTGATACCTCTGTGTTTATTGCAATGTAGATTGTTTATACCAACAGATCTATGTAGAATACTTTCTTCCATAGGGGGAACGAGGAAGATCAGCTGAAAGAGGTCGCTCAGCCAGTAATCAGCGCGAGTCATCTCGATCAAATCGAGCAGACTCAGCTGTGATACGCCCCAAAAGGTACTGTAAAGAGTAGTTTAAAACAGTATACTGTATACCAAGGTTCAATTTATTCCAATTTTAAACATGGAGCTTTACAGGTAATGGCAATATAATTTTGCTTTCAGTTCTCCCCAGCTGGTTGAGTTCCAGAACAACAGAGCCAGCTGTAAATACCAGAATGTTGTCAATGAGATGCACCAGAAGTTTCAGGAGAGGAAGGAGGATGCAGCCTTACAACTCCACGAACAGCTAGAACAGTTAGAGAAGTATGTACACGTAGAGATTAGAAAAATTAGAAAAGAGTGTACAGGTAGAGACTAGAAAAGGTAGAAAAGAATGCATACTTAGCTAGACAGAAGTTTAAACAAATTACCACTGTGTGCATTGAAACAATGATTTAAATTGTACTGTGTATTTACTCCCAGCATTTGAACAGCTCGCTTTAGATATTAGAATACATGTATCACAAAATGTACACTTCAAAAGTAAAGGAATTATCTTGAAGAAATCTACTATTCTGGACTTGTATAACTTCTAGAAGTCTCTGTTTTCATTTACAATGGATTATTGTCTTCTCAAGAATTTTTTTATGAATGTTATTTTTTTGATTTACAGACAGAGGTTTGCAGTTTGTCAGAACAAGTTTCTGGCCATTAACTCCCAGCTGAAGGGTAGCAGTTTCCACAGAGCAGTGCAGGAAATGAGAGACCGAAGCAACCGAATGTTTACTCGACCGAACCAAGAGCTGCTCAAAAAGAAACAAGAGGAGGGATCCAAGGGAAACTGGTAAGAAGGACTGCCTTGTATCGAATGTGTTCTCTTTGTAGTTTCAGAAACTTGGTGATCACAGCATTTAAAATGAGTATCCTGGTCACTGCACAAATTTCTTTTAAAAATTTAATCTTCACCAACTTAAGGTTTATCCCCCCTCAGTTTACCCATGTAAAATTTTGTGAATGATTTTTATGTAAATTTAGATTTATAATTTCTGAAATCTTGAATTGTGTGTTTGGAAGAACATCATTTAACTAGATTAACAATACTTCTTACAGAAGAAGGGTATTCACATGTTGATAATATTTCAGGTATGCAGATCTTATGGCCAATTCCCCTGATGAGATTAAGGATGAGTGGTACTACAAAGTGATAATGAAGAAACTAGCCAGATATGGACTGGTAAGATATATTTATTGTGTTATCATGATATCATTTGAGATTTGTTAACCATTGGCTAAATCATACTAATTCATGGGGGAAAAAGGTATAAAAAAAGAGAGCTAAATAAACAATGCTTGATCATTGGACATTAACTTGCTTCTTGGTTAACAAGTTTCAGCATGTAAATTAACTGCTAGAGAAGAAAGGCTATGTGGGAAAGTTTAACTGCTCCTCTCTTGGTTTTTGGTGAACCCTTATAATAACTATCAAAATAACCTTGGCATGACTTTTGTATGTTACTAATGTATTAACTTTAAACCATGGGGAAAAAAATCAGTTTTTAGCCAACCCTGTTAATATTCAATAATTTTGTCACATTTTTTATGTCTGTGCCAATTGTCTTTGTAATGGAGATGTTGAGAACAGGAACACATAATTTATTTATGAACATTTCTATATCAAGTTGAATGTCATTGATTGATGTCATAAACATTAATGAATGTGTTTTGGCTTATAATAAGTTTTTTGAAGACATTATAGTACCAGTACTTCAAGTCATTTGTCCATGAAAAGTACTTAACAAATACAAGTATGCTACTTTTAACAATGTAATAAAAATATCTAACATACACAGTAATACACACATATTACTTCACAATGTTATTAATAGATTAATATGAAGAAAAATCTGCATTTTATTGAATTACAAATGAATAAAGTCACTCTGGATCCCAAAGATTAAGTGTAGGGTTTTTTTTTGTTTTTGTTGCAAAGAAGGAGCCTTGATTTGCATTTGAAAATGCCAGTTTGCAAGACATAGATCAGTGCTACTTCACAGTGCTATAGCTATAGTTTTGGAATGATTTCATAACATTTGATTGCATTTATATTGATAGATGTCAAATCCCAATCAAGTATGGAAAAAAGTGACTGTTATGAGAGTAAGTTCCCTTGACTGAGACCTCTTTTTATGATGTCACCATGTGTTTTGCTTAGAAACTAAGTACGGTTGCACCCCAATGGCTGATTTTGTGAAATATAGGACATTAAAGCACAGGCCTATTTCTATTTTTACCACAGTAGTTTTTGACATAGAAAATTTGCATGTAGATATTTACTGTCTGTTGAATGTACTTTTGTATATACGAAGAAATCAATTTTCACCTTTTGTACTGGAGTGATATTTAGCTTAAAGCACCCTCATGCTTCATAATTTGTTTTCCAATCAGATCCAGTTTGTTTGTGAAACTGTGTAGGTAATTGTTTGCTAGTTTGTTTGATTTTTTTTCCAGGTTTTTATTTATATTAGGTAAATAGTAAAGTGACGTACATTTGTAATAATATTAAAGGACCTTCATTTAAATGACATACAGATGATGCAGGCCTGGAAAGGAGAAATGTCCAGCTTTCTTCAGACTAATTATTTTAGACATTTAACTTCATTGACATTAATCTGTTTGGTCTTTTGATTTGATAGCAAGGAATGACTATGAATTGTATACCAATGGCTTTATATATTTAAAATTTACTTTTATGTGATACCATTCAGCTTCAGAGGGGTTTGACCACTCGCCGGAACACGGTATCAGTAATTGTTCTGTATTTTTTGGTGTACATAACACACATTTATGTTTTGGTCACTGTAATATTATCACAGCCCCGTGATCAGAGACGAGCGACCATTTTACAGGTAATGACCAGGGAATGGCACTCGAAATAATTGTTTCTACCCTGTTTTAAAATCATTTTTAAATTTTTAGTTTTTTTACACAATTTTTTTTTTTTAAATGCTTTAATTAATACAGGTGTAATAGGTAGATTTTGTATTTTTCATTTTCTAGCTCAATTAGTTTCAGTTCATAGTCTTCTATTTTACAATCTTTTTACAATGATCAACAAAGTCCCAATCCCATTACAATTAGCAAGCCAATTGAAGCATTATAAATTAATTCTGCAACTCTAAACAATTATATTTAAGTTCGAGTGCTATTCTTGTGGTGGTAAATCTTTTGCATGATCTTCACTTGTTTTCATCAAAATTAGCTAATATGTATTGCTTGCTCCATTTCACTGAAGCCATATTATAGAATTAAAGATGTTGAATTTGACATGTTCACTGAAAACACATTTTTGAGATTATTGTATTGATTTCAACTTCCTTTTTTTTAACTGATTAAAGCATATAGTAATTGACCTGTCTGTCTGTCTAGCTGTCAGTCCATTTGTCTCTTAAGGCAACCACTTATAAATATTAAATTCAAAATCTTCGACAATTTATGGTATCAAATGCTATATCATATAAGTATTTATGATAATCTTTTAAAATATGATTGGTGAAATTCAACCACTGAGCTTGGATCAGATATTATATAACTAAGCAGGGTGTTTCACGCATATGCATTCACTATTAATTTTTTTATATCATTGACTTTTTTTTACTTTGAACAATTAATTTATTAAGATTCATTCAAAATATATATGTATATAATATCTTAGATACAGGAAGAAACTGCTTTACAGACTAACATTTTTCTTTCATTTAAACTAATACCTATAGGGTACATGTTTACTGTCTACATGTACAGAGATAATATATATGTAGATAAAAGATAAAATATTCATTCAGACATTTCTTAGAAGTATTAGACTCTTTGATTTCAGAGGATATTTATATGTACTCCACTGTACATTGGATTGTAAGTTGTTCAGCTGTTACGAAAACCACTAGATGTAGAAAATTCACCTGTCCCCTTTTATAATACAGTGGAGCCTCATTTATCTGGATGCTTTGGTTCCTAGTTAATTTGTCCAGATATGTGAAGTGTCCGGATACCTGAATTACCAGTTAAAAAAGACAAAATAACGTTTAAAAAATTTAGTTCTGATGAAAAATCGTCCGGATACTGAAGCATCCGGATATCTGGCGTCCGGATATCTGAAGGTCCACTGTAGTATTTATATAGATATGTAAAATCAATTTATCCTTGGACAAAATCAAATATCAAACTTGATGACCCGTTTGTGTACATGCATGAGAACATCAAGAGTATGAAATGCATCTATTTTATGTAAACCATAATTCCCCAACAAAACTTTTTACTGCATGGTCAGAATACAACAAAGGGTCAAAGAATTTCACTTGATTATTTTTATAAGTTTTATACATGTGTACTCCCTTTTAAATTGAAAAATTAAGTACTCTTCTTTATTGTCAACTATGAAAATATTATTTGATTGTTTCAGTATGAACAATTATATCTCATATGACTAACATTATACAGTCATTACTATTTGAATTACAGAAAAAAATCAATAAGTTGCATACATATATATCAGCCTTGAGGATTATTTTTTTTTATTCTGTCAGATTGAGGGAGCTGGCCAGCAGTTGAGTAAGAGAACATTCTTTAAAGTGCTAGAGAGACTGCGTGAATGGGAGATCTGTAGCCCCGACATCTGTGCTGCCATAGAATTCTGTCGCGAGAAGATCGTGGAAATGAGCGTGGAGGATTTTGAGGAATGGTTCTCCCAGCAATTCCCAAAAATTCAGCGCCCACAGACAGCGCCGGTGGGAAAGAAGAAGAGCAAGGAGGGAGATAATCTACAAGTAGCCCTCAAGGAGCGCTTCCCCAGCGCCTACACAAACCGTGCCAAGAGCGGATTTCACCCCCGGGGACAGAGAAGTAAGAGCGGCTATGCCTCTTTTGGGCGGCCATTATCCACATCAACCACAGTTACTGTGGCCAACCCGTGGGTAGTAGTCAGGCCTATGTCTATGAGATAGGCTGAACTATTAAGCTGCCAAACAGAATATCTTTAAACAAAATTGTACTAGCTTTATGAAAAGCACTTTTGAACATAGCTTTAAAGAAATGAAATTTATCATTTCTCTATATAGCCTTTTTTCATGGATATTTTAAAATTAGAATCCTATCCATGTCTGCGATTGTTGTTTTTTCTTTATTTTATTTTTATATTCATTAATGTCTCAACAGCACAAGTCTGTGATACGTTTATATATAGTTTCATATTTATAACAGTACTGTGATTCTGCGGCTTTATAAAATATTGCTCAATTCTGCTTCCGGAGACCAGAATTTTATATATGGTTGTGAAATATATCAGCATTCATATATGTAATGTTGTTCCATACAACAGATTTACGTGATTTTACGATTTATACTGATTATACTTTATCATTGTATGCTTGTTTGCAATGTCTCTTAAGCTTTACAAAGATCAGGAAAATTGAATTGCTATCTAATTAATGTTATTGATTTGTCAAGGTCAAATTTACTCTGTGCAGTCTCATTATTTGAAATCTCACCAAAATACAGATGTTAAAACAGGGTATTATTAATGTAAATTGTGTACAAAATTTACCATTTTGTGCTCATGCATTTTTAAAAGAAAGCATACCCATGCACACATACAAATGCATGGGGATTCTGTGCTAAATTCTAAGATGTACTGTATGTTCAATATTGTAATTTTTTCAAAAGACATATTTATGATGTTGTAAATATAGGGGGTATTAATGTTAGATAAATTTAAGTGCTAAGGAATTAACAAGATTTGCTGATGCTTCGTTTTGTCTTGCAGCCTAGATTTAGAGAGAGACAGGTAACTTTAAGTGTGTTTATTCAAGTTATACACATGTATTCAGATGTGAACACTAGTGTGGCTCGTCGTGTGTCTAGAGAGTGTGACACAGAACTATGCTTACATTATTACATTGTCCACATCACATCTCAATCACTTAACTCACATGTAATTTATGTTCACATAGGAAATACATCAGTAAAAATATCTCATGTTCGTTTTGCATCTCAGGGTAATTTTTTTAAGCATCCAAAAATTTAATTAGATCACAAATATTTAACTGTTTTATAAAAAAACGAAAGTGTCATTATTTCTGTACAATTAGGTATTGTTCAAAAAGCAGAAAATGATTACTGCATACAATAATAGAGATAATTTTAGTCTTAAATATACATGTATATTAAGTCTAGACTTTAACTTTAAGTGTTTTAGAATGTATTTAGAATACACAATGTTTTCAATGAAGGGATTTAAATTTGACCTTGAGTAAGATGATGTAGATCGGACAGTGACATTAATAGGACATCATGGGGGTAATGTCCTTAAAACCTTAAGAGTGTCCATAGAATATTCACTGACATGAATTTATTAAGGATTTTAAGGATTCACAATTTCACCCAACTAGCCACTAAAAAGAATTTATTATATATGTAGCAAAGCTAAGAAAGTGCTTCTGATACTTTTGTTTATTGCATTTTACATATATTTTAGATGTATTGAAATGTTTCTCCTTCTTTAAGTTCATTTATCAGTAAACCATTCAATTTAGATTACATGTAATGTTTTTTTTTATTTCTAGTGTATAGATGTGTATTACTACATTTTTTTCCTTGCACAGAAAATGGTTTCCTTTTACTGAAAAATTAGAGAATTACCAGTTATGTTTTTTGATGTGATACAGAAATGATATTAAATTAATATCTAAAAAGTCCTCAAATGGACACAGCTATTGAATAGGGAAAGTAGTGTGTTAAATACATACCTCTGTCTCAGTTATAAAATCACTGTGTCAAAATTATAAAGCTGTGATTAACTAATACATTAATTCTGCAGAAGCACATTATTAAACAGTGTCTTGCATGCAATTGCAACATCGTTTAATTTTTTTTTTTTTTTTGAATATTAAATTAAAAAAAACACTTTTTCTTTGCCTCTCAAAGTTTGCTCAATCTTCTCGAGAATCTCAAATTTCTTCATAAAGTTAATTTCTTATGGCATTAATTTTATGCCAGTTTGCTCTGTTATAATGTATTATATATAGTGAATGAATCTTCAATGGAATCTATTTGGTCCAGCATAAGGTTTTATTGTATTGATTTACAAAATTTAAGTTTTAATTAAAATTTTCAATGAAATATGTATAAAGCGTTTTCCCTCTTGTGATAATTTGAATTATTTCCGGTCTTTTTGGAGTAAGAAATCCTTAACTTTTAAAAAAGTTATCACAGAATTATAAATTTCTGTCTTTTAGGTCCCAAGTCCTGACAATGGTGCCACAAAAAGTTCCTACACAATGATAATGTGTCAAATGCCATGTCTGATGGTCATGTTTTAAAATCTGCCATACCTACTTGTATCTTGAATTGAATGCTTACAGATTTCTTTTAAATGTAGGAAATAAGTTTATTTTCTTCAGTATTTTAAGATTTTACTTTCGCCATGATTGTTTGTATAGGAATACATTATTGGTATAAATTTATCTGCTTTAAAATAAAACATTGCCCAAATTTAGTGATCTGTTTTTGTTTTTTGTTTTTTATAAAATTTACCATGACCACATTATTCACATTTTGTCTCAATTAATTACTTTATCATTTTAGGGATTATGTTTTTGTTTATAAAGATTTATTTAATCAGGGAGTGCAGGCTTAGTTTTATGTATTTTAATTCTGCCAAGTGAATGTTTTGAACACAAGTATTTATATGTTAGTGTTTCTTGTATTCTCTGATATTGTTCAAGCTGGTTGTGTTACCTCCCTTGGAAAGGAGTTTTACATACGATGTATGTTGAGAAATAAAGTTGTTGAAATATGTGTTTTTGTGAAACTGTCTTTTTTTAAACACATGGATCTGACCTCCATTCAGTTTCAAAGCAAGAAGAACTGAGACAGAAAATGTTACCTCCAAAAGGAACTGCTGAATTTATTTGTCAAATTGTGACAGTAACTCGATGTTACTCTGTGAACTTGATGTCATTATCCATTCAGTTCAGAATGGAAATGAGCTAAAACTTATATAACCATGATATCATTGACTATCTATGCTCTGTAAATAATCTGATCTAGAGTCTCATGTGAAAAGAGCAAAATACACTGTTTTTAAATTTTATGTGAATTTAAAGCTGAACACTTCTCATAAATAGGCACTGTCAGACGGGTATATAAACCGTTCGATTTCGTTACAGCTGATTGCACACTCGAAACTCGTGGCCGACATGTATTACTCTTTTCGAGGTCTTAGATTTTTTGTGTTTATTTCGTGTTTTCATGTGCATTTTATGTTTGTAAATAATGTATTGACCTGTATTTTTCAAGACACTCTTGTCCTGTTTTGGAAAAAATACGTAAAGTTTGATAATTTCATCGAGATTGAGTAGCACGCAGTGAAAGGTGTACGTCTACACTCGTCGGACCTCTAAAGCAAAATACATTGAACTGATAAGCGATCTGCTCCTTATATATGGGTTGTAGGGAGAGTGTTGAACAATGGGAAATATGGCAGACTATGCCTATTTACGAGTAGTGTTCAGCTTTAATGAGATTAACATTAATAACATGATTCTGAAGTTCTTATTTTTGCGATAGTCACATGAGAACCATTTGGCTGTGTATGGCTGCATTGCAGAGCTAGGATGATAATCACTGCAGAGAACATGTAAACACAGTAAATGCAAAAGCTATTTTCCAATAGATATAACAATCACTCTTAGAAAGTCCAATTTTATCACTTTTATAGTAGATAAATGAAAAACATTGAAAGCTTCAGTATCATTTATTTAGCATAGTAAAACAAAACGATCAATGATGTTGAGAAAATTATAAGCTTAAAAACTACAACAGTGTGCCTTGAGGCAATTCATCCACCAAATGAAAATGTACACATTACAATTAAATTGAAGGAAATCTCAAAGATGGATTAATTTACATGTAATTCCGCTGTAGATCACTTTGACACAATAGTGACATAATTCAACTGTTTGTATTCAGTCTGTTTAATAATAGAAAGTCAACATTGACAACTTTTCTTCAAGAGAGAAATAGCCTCCATATAAAATGATTTTCTTTTACAATATACTGTACATGTTCCCAAGAGCATATATAAAACATTTCAGGACATCATCAAAAATGTACTTTTTAATACCACAACATCATTCACAATAGATGAAATGCAAGACCATGTTTCCCAAAAGAAAGCAATCAATTCCGCAGCATATACATATATCTTATGCACTTCCATCAACAAAAGGAGACTCCATTTGAAAAATGTCAAATAAAAAAGTCCATCACAGCAGACATTGGAACATTCAAAATGAGAATTATTTCTGTCCAAAGTCTTTGGAAGACTATCGTAGATAATTTTTTAGAATAACATGAATATTCATGTCAATGCACCTGCAACTGATAAAAATTGTCAGACTGAATCAATTAAGTTACAATACACTATATCTTGAGTAAATCTGAAACAACTAGCACTTAATACAATATACTTGTATATGTATGCCAATAAACAGCACTGATTACACTACATGTGTACTTAATTTACAACACAATTTCCCTACTTTTTCCCTACTAATTTTACATCACAGCCTTGAAGGAATAAGAAAAGATTTTACCAATGCCCAAATGATATATCACAACATTTGTGCAGGGAGTGTTTATAGAAATATCACAATAGATCCTCACAAAAAAAGACCACAAGACTAGGAAGTTATCAGCACCTCTTCTGTTCATCACGGAGAGAGGGAGAGGAGGGGGGGTTCCCTCACACTATGGCTGCCCCACACCCTGCTCTCCCCACCAGCATATTACTGATAAATGACCACCTGTCTCTATCAATGTCATACACCTCAGCACTGCGAAGTCTGTAGGAGCCATCAAATCCTCCAATCAGATAAATTCTCCCATCATACACTGCAATTCCTGGCCAGGCTCTTGGCTGGTTCATAGACCACAGAGTGGTCCACTGGTTAGTGATGGTGTTATACCTAGCAAGAAAAAAAGTTACATTTTAAAAGTTAAACCACATTCAATCCCTCCCAAAAAATTATCACCTTAAAGATTTTCAAACTCGAATGATAAAATATGCCATTTTAAAGATACATGTATTACTGAGAATATCTGTTGTATTTTAAGCCCAAAATGTGGGGAAAACACCTTTTCTTAATGTAAAAAATTGCCCATCAAAAAAAGGAAGTTTATTTGTACCTTTCTGCCACATCAAAGTACTGATCAGCTGTTTTGTATCGCCCTCCTATCATGTAGATGTTGTGGTCAATGGCGACCACAGAGAGACCAGATCTAGCTTTTTCCATCTCTGTTACAAACGTCCAGTCATCAGTATTGGGGTCGTAACATTCCACGCTGGCTCGATCCATGTGAAGAGTCTTGTCATATCCTCCTGAATAAACATATACACTTAAAATAAACAATCAAAGAGGACAAAGACATTAATACTCCACTGATACTTTTTCACTGATCTTGTATGCAAAAAACTTCAGACTGACCAAATAGTCTATTGTCATCTGAGAGTATGTTTTTTTCTTGTATGTTATAAATAAACATCTCTATTTCATTTTCCCTTTCATAATAAATATTGTGGATTTCTTTTTATCTTGATATTTGATTGGAACACACTCAGCTATCATAACTCACCTGCTACATAGATCCTGCCATCACAAACACACACACCTGCTCCGGCTCGTTTTCTCTTCATATTCGGACCAAATGACCAGGTTTCGGAATTAATGTCATATTTTTCCATGATGCTATAACTAGTGGCACGATCCTCTCCACCTGAAAAATAAAATAAATGATAAACTAATTCATGAATGTAAAATAAAAACTTTTAATTAAATACACAGTGATAAAATGTAACATCAAACAAACAAATTTTAAAATTTTTCCTGTATTTCCTCCCTAAAATCTCGGAAAGTTTACTAAACAAAATTAATTTATTATCAGCTTTCAGAGTTTTATTACTATCTAAAGTACCAGGAAATGGACAATAGGATTTCTTCAGAGCTATTCAAGGAACACCTTGTGTATTCAGCTATACCATAACCATTCACCATTCAAATCTAGCAACTTACCAATTGCATACAAGTACTTTCCAACTGCTGCGACTGCCACAAATGACCTGGCTATTTTCATGTCGGGTTTAGGAACCCACTGTCTGAGTACCGGATCATAGCACTCCACGCAGCGTAAGTATAGCGTGTCCTCCTGAGTGTCAGCTAAGGCACATTCCCCTCCCACAGCATACAGCATGCCCTCTATACTGCATGCTCCTACTGCTGTACGAGCTATGTTCATATCACTCTGGAGAAATGTAAAATTTCAGTTCAATTTTTTTTCTGAAGAGGGAGAGAGATTTTTTAGGGAATGAATGCTTTAGTAAGTTTATGGCAATATTGGTGTATGTTTGTATAAAAAAAATTAACGACAATGACATTGAATTGAGTATTCCTTAGTTCATTAAAAGGACAACTAAAGAAAGATATAAGAGAATAGGCATTTAGCTCATTTTTATTTCCTTGCCCAAACATGAGGCTACTTGGTACTTTACTTACAACATGTGTCCACTGATCTAGAAGGAAATCGTATCTCTCGGTACTGGGTAACTGACAGTCCGCACTATTCCGGCCACCGAGGACATATATACTGATGGGCATGGCACGAGGTCGGATCAGCTGTAAGGACGTGTCATCGTGCAGGGTCGTTATAGCTTTGCTAATCAGCAACTGGCACTTGGGGCAATTTTTCACACATTCTAATTGCACAACTACGTTTTCTAAATGAGAAATACCTAACAGTGGTAACTTGACGTGTTGGAGTAGACGACAAGTTTCAGAATGTCTGTTATCCGGATCCCATTGAATCCAGTTGTTAACTGCATCCATAACTTGGTTTTCATTGTTCACCCGAATGTTGTCACTTTTGAGCAGAGTAATAAGACGGTCACATGATAACTGCATGAATTCTTCACAGTGAATGACCTCCAAGAAGTTCTGATTGATGAAATGTCTTGAAGCAGATTCTAGTTCTCCACACATATACATATCAGCTAGTCCATGGATTCCTACAGTTAAAAAGAGATTACATATTAACACATTGTCATGATAATATTAATAAGAAAGTCATGATACAAATCCAAACCACCATAACACTAAATGGTAATGCTGCTGTAAATTTTACTGTATGCATGATTTTTTTGCCCCATATTTTTTGCCCTTTAACACTTGCAACCAATTTTGTCCTGCTTTTAAAAATGATTTGCATAAGGGATTATGTTGTTTTTCTTGAATTTGCCCCATTTTAAATTTCCCCACTTAGGGAAAGCAAAAGGGATGGAAATAAAATGATTATAAAAAAGCGCTGTGAAAATTTTCACTGCATACAGATTTATGATGACTTTACCAAGGCAGTTGGAGGCAGTAAGCTGAGACTGTAGAAATGTGGCACACATCTTCCTCAGTTGGTGTAACCCCAGTAAACTGGCTCCTTGCAGAATTCCTTGTACATTGTCCACATTTATCTCGATCACACTTGTGTACATGAATTCAATTAACTCCCCCATTGCCCAGGACTCCAGTCCCTGTATTTCAACTTGTGTTTTTTCTGATTCCAACATTCCATTTGTGAACATAGCACAGAGGTAGGGACTGCACCCACACAACACTACTTTATGACCAGTGAAATCCTTCCCATCGACTCTGAGTATGACGTCACACAATAAGTTACGAAGTCGTAACTCATGCATGACCTTGAAAGCATTTTGAGTTTGAGTAGATACAAAAAATGTTCTTGATTCAATCATTTTCCAAATGGCTGAATTTTAGTATAAATTCACTTTAATGGAACCATCAAGAGTCTTTAAATTCTACAAAAAGCAAAATAACCATGGAATATTAAACTAAATGTATCAGATTATCCTGTGGCATCTAAAGCGGGTATTTTATGCAAACATAATTTATTTTACTTGCTTAAATATCATATATGTAAGAGTTATGGTCTGTGTTTGTTTGGTACACTGCAAATACAAAGAACTCATTTTATCGATAAAGAGTCTGCAGGATATTATCATTTGGATGATTAAACATTCTTATGTCTCTGATGAAAGTTAACATGTTCATTCACTTCAGTCATTGGTGAAATTTTTCATTGATAGAAAAATCAACAGTTTAACCATAGTATTCATTCCGAGTATTTAGACACAATGTTGCAAAACAGACACGGGCGATAATTCGAACTCAGTGCATTTATTATGAACAATCAAGAGAGTTCCAAATTAAACATGGCATGTTATAATTTGAAGCGAGAAACAAAGTTAAGAAAATTACTAGCATTTTCGTCTTTATTTGTAAAAGGCATGCACAACCTCAGAAAGGTTTGTTATGATTAATTTGGAAGTTATTTTCAGAGTAAATCCTTTTGTATTCTTCAAAATCATTTCGGAGCGATTCTTCAATTTTTGCTACATTGCAAGTTTATGGGAGGTATTCTAAGCTGAGCTTTCTGATTTACAAATTTCAACTTGAAGATAAACCTAAAACATATCAATAAATAGAGAATGTTCATTTCCTTTTAATGTAGTCAGCAAATTAAATGTCAAGGCATTTATCACTACAAATCCTCAGCATCAGATAGCTGATCTGTCAAACACAATTTTTTTGTGCAATTCTAAAGAATATTATCATGAATCAACATTTTCTAAGTTAATATTACCATGATTTCCAGTAAAATAAATAATAAGCTCGTGATGTTGACTTCTATTTCGCTACTTGAACCGCATGCAAAGAGGAGAAAATGATGAAAATCATCTTGCTACTTCCTCTACTCAAACCGGAAGCAAAATAACATAATATCCGGTTTAATATTCATTAAATCGTTCTTTAAAGAGTTCATCAGTAATCCTAACAAATATCAAAGAATAAAACTTTCTTGAATGTGTTAAGCATTGATAACAAAGTTATAGAATGCGTGTTTTTTTCCTTCATTACAGTTATTTTTTTTTTAATGGATTTCATCATATTTCATATCCGGAAAGAAAAAAAATCCCATTTTTCATTTAGATTTTCATATCAGTTTCCGGTTTGTTTAGTTTGGAGTTTTGCTTGGCAAACTTTGTTTCAATCCTGAAAAGAGTATATTTTAGACCAGAATCTAAATATAGAATAGACAATACAAATGATTACTTCTTGGTATGACTGGTAAGTATGCCAGATTGAATACATACAACTTGAAACAAAGATGTATGATTTATCATGAATCTACAGATTAAAATTGTTTTCTCTAACAGATAGATTTAAAATACCAGAGATATGACAAAGTGTATTTGCTAATATGTTGACGGTGCGACCGTTAGGGCGAGCGCAGGTACTTATCCATTTAGTATCATTTAGATCGGGCTCGTGAAACTGCACATGACATTCGGTGCGTCTAAGACTCTAACGTCACATGACGTCGTATGCATGTTGCTTTTCCAAACCGAAGCCTGAACAGGGCTGATATTAATGAAGAACCGTTTTATTAAGTATTTTTCTGCAATAAATTCATTAAATCAAGGCATGTTTATTATTCGTTTACTTTTTGTTGTTATTCTCACAAGGGCATTGCTTTAGCTTATCTGCACTTTGAAGCGATGCATTGTGGGTCCAATTAACTGTGGAAAAAATTCTATTGAATGAATGTGCAGTGGTTCAAATTTTCTATTTGCCCAGGCATTGTCATTAGATCTCGCAGTGACGAATGTCGCTTTGCAATGCTCACTGCACTCACTATTATCAGCTTTCCTGATAGAAATTTGTCTGTCATTGTTGGGGTTGTTTTCATTGTTAACTTTTCACAATTTCATTTTCTCTAGAACTATACTGGCCCAATTTCTTCCAAACTTAGCACAGAGTATACATGTACCTGGTTGAAGAGGATTAAATTTATTCAAATGAAGGGCCGTGTCCTCCTCCAAGGGGAGATAATTAAAAAACAGCAAAAAATTAATCGCATCATTGAAAAATCTCAAGTACCAGTTGGCCAGGAAAGGTGAAACTCATGTTGAATCATTGTTAGATAGTGAAGATTCAAGTTTGTTCATATCATGACCCCCAGGGGTAGGGTGGGGCCACAATGGATGGTCAAAGTTTAATATAGGAATATATAAGAAAAGTAAGAAATCTTCTTAATAACAGCAAACGCCATGGTTGTGCATATTAATGTGAATTGTGATAGCATCTTCAGGTGGTGTAGATGCAAATTTGTTCAAATGATGGGTGAGCCACAATGGACGGTCAAAGTTTTACATACAAATATAGAGAAAAAATCTTCTCAAGAACAGCAAAGCCATGGTAGGTCATATTTATATGGAAGCTTCCTCAGTTAGTGTAGATTCAAGTTTGTTCAAATTATGACTCCCAAGGGTAGGATGGGGCCACAATGAAAGTTTTAGGAGAAAAAAGTCATAGTTTATTAAAAAGAAATAAATAAGCATCCTCAGGTGGTGTAGATTCAAGTTTGTTCAAATCATAACCTTTTAAAGGGTAGGTTGGGACCACTTATGTATTTAAGCTTTTCAGTACTAAACTGATTTTTGCTTTTTTCCTAGTCACGTTGCTCAGGTGAGCAATGTGGAACCTGGGCTTCTTGCTATATTTATTATCTGCTTTGTAGATCAAGTCAGCAATAGAGTTCAAGTGTATTTTGTTCCATCTAACCCAGAAGTCTCAGAAGATACAGCTGAGGAAGTGGTCTTATCAGAAGATGTTGCTCAGGAAACCATTATCGTAACAACTACAGATGAAGAGAGTGTTTGTGATGATTACGTAGAGCCCCATGTTGTACCCATTGGAGATCTTGATGTTCTAAACACTATAGAATTATCTTGTGATGAAAATTTTCAGCCATCTCTTGAGGATCCTTCAACAATCACTCCATCTGATTTGAGGTAAGATCAAAATTCTGAGGTTAACTTAGATCAAAATTCAAAATTAAGCTAAGCTTTCTAGATTTCAGTTAATCTAACATTATTTGGTGTGTTTTTTCTTTTTGAGTTCCTTAAATATTTTTTTGCAAAGAATACAATTTGTTATTTCAGTTTTTTTTTTCTGTCATTATTCCAATGCAAAATTACATTGACTTATGATTTTGTGTTTACAAATTGTCTGTTTGTTATTTTACAGAGATGGGTGTGAGGAGACTTTTGTTCAATCTTACATAGCACTTGTTCCTGATAATGGGTTAAGATCCAACACTGACCCAGAAAACTGCCATCTGACGGTCAAAGAACATACAAAACGAGAAAAGGATAAGATATACAAACGGGAACAGAGGGCTAACAAAGAATACAGGTATTGTTAATGTATTCAATCTTAGTTACAATCAAATTTTTTAGATTTTGTACAGAATATAGTAAAACACCCTTATAGTGAAGTGTCAGGATTGTGCGATTTTGATGCGTTATAAATGTATTTCATTATATCTGTTAAGAATACAGTATGATTTTAAACCACAGGAACTGAAAATCATTTTGCTGTAAGCATAAATTCATTATAAGCATATTCGCTTTAACCATGTTAATGCTGTTAGTTATTCATTTGAAATTTATCTACATCTGATACTGAAAATTTTTTATAAATTGAATTAGAGAAAATGAAAAGTGTTAAAATTAATTTTATGCCCCCAGGGTTCTGGTGTTAAAGGGGGGGGGGGGGTACATGTCCTAGGGATTTCAACATTTTGAATGTGTTAACAAGTCACATCATTTCATAAATTAAGCTGCTATTATAAATTGTCAATATTGTGAATAAAACCATGTTAGCAAATAAACCTGATATGCTATCATTTTATTTTATGTATGTTTTTTTGTATTCATTATTCCAATGTCTATATTTGTATGACACACAATTGCACTCTTAATCAATCTAATTAAAATTAGATCCTTTACGCACATCATTTCATAAATTCTATAATTGTCAATATAATAACCATGTTAGCAAATAAAGCTATCATTGGGTCATATTTTGACACACAATTGTCTTTCAATCTAATTAAAATTAGATCCTTTACGCACCTGTATTTTGTTATGTCGCTAGCCATAACAAAATGCGGAAGCTTAAAGTATCTAATTTTAATTAGATTGATTTTTTTCAATTTCATTATAAAATAATGGTTTAAACAAATATTTCTGTCCTTTCAATTCCACATACAAGAAAGAAGTTTTAAACACCATTCCCAAAGTTCCTTTATCGTTATATGTATGTGTATGTACCTTTATTCATCTTCTAAATGTTGCTGTTGTCCTTTCAGGGAACAGGAGAAAATAGTAGCCAAACAAAGAATGAAGAACAGAAGGAAGGACCCAGAGTACAGGGAGAGAGAAAGGAGACGGGACGCAGAGAGGAAAAGACTCGCTCGACTAAATAATAAAGAATTCAGACAGAAAGAAAAAGAACGTGACAGACAATACAAAAGAAGCTTAAGGAAAAAATCTGATGCCAAAATACAAATTGAATTGACAAATGGTGCAGATTGTGATAATTCTCCCAGTCTAAATAGTGCTAGTGTCTCAGACAACTTAACAGTGGGGAACTGTTTTACAGTGTTAGACTGGGCAGGAATTGGAGATGTTGACGATAAATTAGATAATTCTGTGGAGGAATCAGAAGTGACAGACTATCAAGTTTATACCCAAGTGTCTATTTGAATTAAAAAAATCTTCACACAGTGCAGTTACACAAGTATAGTATCAGATTTTAAAGGATCATTTAATGTCTGTTTGAAAAAAAAATCTTCACACAGTGCAGATACACTAACCTTAATAAAAAGATTCTAAATTTACATTATATTATTCAATTATTTGTAAAGATTTCAGTTAAACAAAGTACAATGTGCTACCAGTAGTTTTTAACTCACCCGAGCCGAAGGCTCAAGTGAGCTTTTCTGATCAAAATTTGTCCGTCGTCTGTCGTCGTTGTTGTCGTTGTCGTTGTCGTAAACTTTTCACATTTTCATCTTCTTCTCAAGATCCACTGGGCCAATTTTAACCAAACTTGCCACAAAGTATCCTTGGGTGAAGGGGATTCAAGTTTGTTCAAATGAAGGGCCACACCCTTTTCCAAGGGGAGATAATTATGAATTAGAGAAAAATTAATGGCATTTTTTAAAAATCTTCTTCTCCAGAACCACTGGGCCAGGAAAGATGAAACTCATGTGGAATCATCTTCAGGTAGTGTAGATTCAAGTTTGTTCAAATCATAACTCCCAGGGGTAGGGTGGGGCCAAAATGGCCGATCAAAGTTTTACATAAGAATATATAGGAAAAATCTTTAAAAATCTTCTTCTCCAGAACCACTGGGCCAGGAAAGATGAAACTCATGTGGAATCATCTTCAGGTAGTGTAGATTCAAGTTTGTTCAAATCATGACCCCCAGGGGTAGGGTGGGGCCAAAATGGCCGATCAAAGTTTTACATAGGAATATATAGGAAAAATCTTTAAAAATCTTCTTCTCCAGAACCACTGGGCCAGGAAAGATGAAACTCATGTGGAATCATCTTCAGGTAGTGTAGATTCAAGTTTATTCAAATTATGACCCCCAGGGGTAGGTTGGGGCCAAAATGGCCGATCAAAGTTTTACATAGGAATATATAGGAAAAATCTTTAAAAATCTTCCTCTCCAGAACCACTTGGCCAGGAAAGATGAAACTCATGTGGAATCATCCTCAGGTAGTGTAGATTCAAGTTTGTTCAAATCATGACCCCCAGGGGTAGGGTGGGGCCAAAATGGCCGATCAAAGTTTTACATAGGAATATATAGGAAAAATCTTTAAAAATCTTCTTCTCCAGAACCACTGGGCCAGGAAAGATGAAACTCATGTGGAATCATCCTCAGTTAGTGTAAATTCAAATTTGTTCAAATCATGACCCCCAGGGGTAGGGTGGGGCCAAAATGGCCGATCAAAGTTTTACATAGGAATATATAGGAAAAATCTTAAAAAATCTTCCTCTCCAGAACCACTGGGCCAGGAAAGATGAAACTCATGTGGAATCATCCTCAGGTAGTGTAGATTCAAGTTTGTTCAAATCATGACCCCCAGGGGTAGGAATATATAGGAAAAATCTTTTAGAAATCTTCTTCTCCAGAACCACTGGCCCAGGAAAGATGAAATTCATGTGGAATCATCCTCAGTTAGTGTAAATTCAAATTTGTTCAAATCATGACCCCCAGGGGTAGAGTGGGGCCAAAAAGGCTGATCAAAATTTAACATAGGAATATGTAGGGCAACCTTTTAAAATCTTCTTTTCATGTACATGTATTTCAAAACCATGATTAGTAATATTTATATGGAATCATCCTCAGATAGTGTAGATTCTAGTTCGTTCAAATTATGATTCCCTAGGGGGTTTAGATTCAAGCCCCCCCCCCCCCCCCCCCCCCCTTCAGTAAACTTTCAGTTCTGACCTGATATGTGCTTTTTCCTAGCCTATGTGCTCAGGTGAGCACTGTGGCCCCTGGGCCTCTTGTGTTGGATTTTATTCCATAATCCTGTTAAATATGTGTAATGTAATTGTGAGCTTAACAAGAGGAGTGAGATTTTAGATACTACAGCACAGGCACTTGTTTGGGAGATAAATCTTTAACCAAGAGTATAATAATTTCACTGTAATTCAGAGTTAGGTACCTTGTGTAATTATTATACTCTGGGTTAAAGATTTATCTCCAAAACAAGTGCTTGTGTACTATTCAAAACTCATTATCTCAAAAAGTAGAAGTTACTTTTTAAAATAATCAAGGATTAGAAATATAAAAATATTAAATTTAATATACATAGAGAAAACTATTCATTCTACATATCAGCATCCATGATAGTAATAGAGAGCAGTGTTCTAGATATTAGGGTTTAACTGTATGTAGTTTCTCTCATCAACATAGCAATTCATCAATACTTTATGTTACCTTATTCTCCATCTTCTGATATTCAATTACTCTCAAACTTATTCAAACATGTATTATTCCTAATATCACAGGCTATTACAATCAATACCCATCAGATAATCTCATAAGTTTGGATGCTGAAAAGAAGGCTGTTACATGTTAAAGCATCTATCACTTAAAATTAGCACATTTTTTGCGCAAGAATATTGGAAGGTTTTGCATTGATCTTCTATTTGCATAATACTTGTAAGTAGGGTTTAATTGCCACAGTAAGGTATATATATTGTGTGTCTGCTTGTTTATGAACACGCTTTCATTTTAAAATGCTTTCTTTTGGTACAGTCTTGTCAGTACTAAAACAGCACTGGTTTATATTGATGTTTGCTTATTCTTCAAATGTGCTGAATTCAATAAATTGTATATATAAATTAACAGTTGTGTGTATGCTTGATTTTATATTCTTTTTCAGAAAGAGGACAAAATGGACAAAATTTCAACAATTTTAGCTTTAAAATTTATAGCTGTGTGTTCAGGAACAATATTGACATATTTCATTGATATTATCATTCTACACATTATATCAAAATATCCATCCTGAACACACATGCGCTCGGTGACTTTTACTTAAAATATCGACGAAATCTGTACGTTTTTTCTGTAAAATTCATAAAAACCTGAAATTTACGTCATGTTTGTGACGTCATTACGTACATATGACGTCATTACTTATGAAATTATTCAGTGCTTTGAAGTCAGCATATACTCCCCTGTTTAAGGACTTAATTAAATATATCTCCATCAAAGTTTGATTTGGGGGGCAAATATTGGTTAATACCGAATAAAGTCCTTTGGTCAAAATAGGGCTTACACATCAATAATGCTACTAAAAATTATTATTCTCATGTTCAGTTCATGCAAATAAACAGTTACAACCATGTGGAAAATTTATTTTTATTAAATTTCAGTGAAAAAATGTACTGTGAATTCACAGTACATGTACATATAATAACTAATTTTTGTTTAATGTAAAATATGAAATGAATTTTCTTGACAATATGAAATGAATTTTCTTGACCATGATGAGTTTACATTTTCAACCATTTCAGAACATTTTGACCACAGCTACTTACATTAAAATGTTAATAACTGTGCCATATTTACTTTAACTATCCAATGGCATGTATTTCTATAAACAACTGTGAGCACTAACAAATATTTTAAAACACCTACAATGGAGATTTGATTGACAAAAATACAAGGATAGTATGAGAAATTTGCACAGTTGTCTCGATAAAGAATGCCTTAACAAGTACTCATTTAGATGTGAGTTTATCTATCTGTGTGATCTGCGATATTCAAGTTTAGTGAGGATGACAACGTATAAAAAGAATGTCACAATAATATCCACTACAATTGCACATATCACATTCACTTCTTTTCTGGTGTCGAAAGTCCATATTTCTGTTTCATTTTTTCGATGTCTTCTTTCTTTTTAGTATCATCTGTTTTCTTGAATGCCTAAAAATGAAATAAAAGAGATCCATATGACAAGCATAACTTGTAAAGCAGTTTATATATATATATATCAACATTGCACTTGCATAAAATGCTAGTACAGATTTTTTAAAATTTACATTATCAAATAAGAAATTTTCTTCACTGTAAATCAACTATTATTTGTGTTATCTATTCATGATTCGGCAGTTTGAAATCAATTGGCGACGATAAATTTTCGCGACATTAGGAACATTCTGTACATCAAAGGTTTGCAGCGATAATCATTTGTGAATAAAAGAAAGAGACAGTAACATGAGGATATTCATCACACTCAAATAACATCTGATTAACAGTATATGACATCAAAGGACAGGTGCATTGTAAAATGATACAAGATCTCATTTTGACTGTTTGCATTTTTACCTTGTTATTGGAAGTCCTAGCCACACATAACCCTGAGAGAATGCATTCTTGGCATCAAAAATGTGATATAAACCTTTCCTTTGGTTTCAATTTGTGTTTTTTAATAATCAATTTTAGTTGCCTTGAAAGAAATATATATTTTCCAGGCATCCATTTTTTTCAAACACCTGAGGATAGATTTTATAAAGGAAAGGAGCATTATCGTCCTGTGTCCCTGACCTCTGTGTGTTGCAAGGTAAAAACATCATCCACAGCCACCTGATGAATTTCTTCGAGCATCACAGTATCCTAAAAGCATGGGTTCAGGAAGAAGCGATCCTGTGAGTCCCAACTAATAACAACAATCCAGGACCTCGCCATAAAATATATATTCGATGCAGTGCTACTGTTTTCCAAAGCATTTGACAAGGTCCCACATGAGAGATAAAAATCCACTACGGGGTACGTTTAATTGGATAGCTTTCTTGTCCGGAAACACAAAAGGTATTGGTCGAGGGCCATTCTTCACCAACCGCACCGGTAACATTCCCCAAGGAACAGTCCTATTTTCCTGACATCATATGATTTACCCTCCAGAGTGAGGTCCAAGGCCAGGTTATTCCGGACGACTGCCTTCTGTATAGGACCATCACTACAGATGCGGATGCCAGACAACTCCAGACGGACCTTGACAACCTCCAAGATTGGGAAACAGACTGGCTAATGCATTTCAACCCAGACAAGAGGTTATCCGTATCACCACCAAACGGAAATAACCCCATATTCATCATATAACTACCACCAAGGCCAAGTACCTAGGGGTCAACATTTTCATGGAACCATCATATTGATAGTGTAAATCAAACAACACCACTGCCTTTTTGTGTTATCTATTCTGTCCCAGCAACATCAAGGACAAGTGTTACAAGACATTGGTCAGACCCCAGGTAGAATATGCATCCACTGTCTGGGACCCTCACACAAAGAAAAACATCGACAAACTAGAAGCTGTGCAGAGAAATCACTTGTGACCAATAACTACAACACCACCAGTAGTGTCACAACGATGATCGACATGAATGGGAAATTCATCAACGCAGAATTAAAGCAAAGGCTATCTGATTTACCGTATTGGCATTCCCTTGTTGCCAGATGCATTAGCCAAACAGCCAAGACACCAACACCGGTACAGGATCTCATTTTGCCGTGAATGACTACAAGGAATCGTCTTTCCTTGTACCATCAGGATATGGAACCAGCTGCCAGAAAACACCATCACGGCCATGTCCCTGGAGTCCTTTAAGACACACATATAAAACACCATAAATCATGCAGTCACGTTTTTATCAGTTTTTAATAGTGTAAAAATGTCTCCATATACACGTACACGCTTTTAAACATAGTGAGAATATGCCGCAGCAGCGGCCCTTCACTTTACCGGAAGAAGAAGAGAAGAACCATGATTGAATTGGTGATGTAAATACAAGTGTAATTTTGTTGGATTTATATTAAAAGTAAGTCTTGTTTTCAATAGTATGGACTTCTACATTTCACCTAGACTTTTCGCAGAGTACTATGCATATTTTATTCACCGACATTTATCTGCAGATTATTGATACATGAACTTACACTCGTATTTGCCTTATGGCTCCATATTTTCCAAAAATATCATACATTTCCTCAGCTGTTATTTTGTATGGTAGATTTCTGACATACAGAATACGATTGACTTCTGGAGGAAGCCTCACCTGAAAAATAAAAACATAAATAATTCTCTTCAAAAAAGTTTCTGTTCTAAAATATTGTACAAATCCTGAAGGATTTATGGGACAATAGAATTAGAAACATAAACATGATCAATATTTCGTACAAAATCACACATGTATGAAAGAAAACTTTTTTGCCTTGATACCTCTTTTAAGAACTCTCTATTATAATTAAATGAAAAAATAAATCGGTTTACATACGTTTCCCTTTCTTGTTAACGCCATTGCTGTTTTGATAATCTGAATCTATGTAGCGCTTGCGTTTTTATCTTTTCTTTTTTACTATATATAACATTTGTATGATTTAGATTTTTACACTCTAATATTTTATAAACAATTGATTTTAAATTATCTTTTCTGAAATGATTATAAGTCTCAATTAAAATCATCGTGAAGATAAAAAGAAAAATAAATGAAATCAATTTTTGTATATACGTCATTAGACTTGATAACTCGTTCCCAGTTGTTTTTCCCAGTGAGTTTCCTTCTGTAGCAAACCAAACGATCGATCAAAAACTACACATTACTCATTAGTACGGGATAAAACAGAAAATGGCAGGTTCTCCAACGGACGAAAAGCAAGTGGACCTTAATAAAGGTAACCTATTTATTGTGTTTCATTTTTTGCAGAATTAGTTTTCATGCTGATTTTACCTTGACCTCGTCAACGTGGCTCTTGTTTACATTTTGACGTTTCGTGTGGTGGTCTTAAAATTGTGTTTTATTTATTTTAATAAAAATGTATGAATTGAAATGGTTGAATAAATTTTAATTTTTATGTGGCTAAATATGGGAAGCTGTAAAATTGATGACAAATATCCTTTCAGTGGAGTGCACTGTCATTCTCACATGATCCTAGATGTGATGACATACTGTGATTTCATTGATTGTGCACCTCCTTAAACCAGGGACCGTCTCAGTATATTGGCCCCTGCTTAAACTACTTGATCTCTGGTTAACAAGAAAAGTTATTACATTTGTCTATTGTCCCCCACGACACAACTGTTTTGAAGGATTAAACAATTTTAACCATACCTATGACAAAAAATATATAAACCGGGCAAAACTGAGCAAGGCATGCTCTAGGCAGATGATATATTGATTCTTATTATTTAATATTCAACAGCTGATCCAGCCATTAATTTTAATAAGTATTTGTCTTTAATAATACTTCATATTTTTTATTCGGCTACTTATAATCCTGGTAGATCTATAGGAAAGAGATCCTGGACTTGAATAAGGGAATGAGAGTTACACTCTGACAGTCATTAGATAACAGGTTTTTTCATGATTGAACATGGCTCTGAAATTGATGTTGCTGGGAGATTCCATGAGTTCATTATCAGAAGACCTGTATATAGAGTTCAGAGGGTTAAAGTTTAATCCAGGTCTTGCCTGCTACATTATCTCCCTATCTGTCACATTTAATGCTTTGCTGGACATGTGTAAAAACATGCTGTGGAGAAGATGATGTCTTTTAGAATGGACATTAATCAGCAATTTCAATTAAACATCATAATTCACTTTCTGTTGAGATTATTTTCAATGTAGGAGCAGGAACCTTTGTAGGGCTGAAAGTTCTGAGATTTTCTGGGACACTTTTGTGACATTTATGTGGCTTATATATGCATAATTCCTGATTAAAATTTTCTTTCCAGAGGGAATTTAATTTAGTAATACACAAATATTCCTTCTTATCCAGTATTATTCATTGAGAAACTGAAAGACCTAGCTATCATTCAGATCATCTGGAAAAAGTTATAATTGTTTTACATTTAATAGAAAAAGCAACAGTTCTAAAACAAAGAAATTTCTACATTATTTATACTGATCGAGTGGCATTTGCAAATAACTACATGTCCTTATTAGCTCATTTTATAATTGTAGAACTCAATAGATGAAGAATGCTTGATCTAAATAGTAAATGTGCTATCTAGATTCAGTAGATTGTAAATACTTTAATAGTCATGCAAATTCTATTATTATAAAAATTCAAGGTTCCACCAAAACAAATAGAAATAATTCTATACATATAAGCATTCTTCAATAACAAAATTTTATATTTAATTTTAGAAATATGTTACAATTTCATTCATTGTCCAGTTTATTGTCCCTCTCTGAGACAGTTTTTAATCCATTTCAACACAAAAATAAAATTGCAATAACATACACAGCTTATAGTCAGTACTTTAATTCTTATAAACTTAACTTTGTATGGAACACAACAAAATACCAAGTTGACTGCACTCTGTTCATAAAACAAGCAACAGTCAGACTCTAAAAATAATGCACTTGATGTAGGACTGGCATTAATATACATGTACACCTGTATAGCAGAATTTTATGATCTATCGTAACTGTTGTGTACCTGGTATTCAGGGTGTTTTAATGCATCTATTTAGCTTCCATTTTTCTTGGTCTATTTATTTAATTCTTACGACTTATATTAAGGTTTACATATTTCCTATTGCAGCTTGATAACACTTTGCAAATATGTATTTATCAGTTGATCAGTGTGCAGGTACATGTACAAAGTGAAATCAAGGATGTTTAAACAATCAAGGTCTAGTTGAGATATTCTTGGTGAATATGAGCTAAATATGTAAATTGCCAAAGGCAAGATGTAACAAATGTAGAAACGTGTCAAAATATTATAACATAAACCAGACAATTATAAAGAATACATCTTGAGAAAACAAGTTAGATTGAAAATGATAAGTCGCAGTTGATTTATATACTACTGAGAAATGGGTTCACTGGGGCAGATTATATAATGTCTGACAGGCAGGTGAAGTCTTGCTTAACCAATTAATGGTGACTCATTGATGGGTTCACGTGGCCAGGAATATACATTCTTAGATGACAAGGTTGTCACAGGACAGTTTTCTTGTTTTAATCTTCTATTGTATTAGCTCCCATATGTTTCTAGTGAGGACAGATTGACTAAACTGGATAACAAGATACTAGCCTTAGCCGTGATTGTTGGGAATATAACAGAGTGGGCTTCATACAGTATCTTGTCAAATATTGATTGGTGCGAAGGAGTTAAGTCTTAATGAGGAAGGCATTGAGATGATTGAAACTCATCTTGTCATGTTAGAGGAAGGAGTGTCTCCATTGCCTCTGATTCCACATGTTTGATGAATACTTGAGGAATGGCTTTTTCCGTTCATCTTGCCAGATATCAGTGATCAATGAGAATGTCAAATTTCTAATGATAGGCTAATTTGGATTGGTAGAATTTGATTTATAGTGTATTCTGACGTAAAAATTTTACAACCAGTCTGTTTTCAGACACTATTGAGACTAACAATTAATTATTAATTTATTAATTTTTCTCAGAAGAGTATAGGCATATATGCACTTGTACTAATAATCAACCTGAACCAATATCTATAGGTGAATAAGTGTGTGCAGTCAGTTTTGGGGGTTTATCAGTTCAAAGCTTTCATTTCTGATTGTATGATTTATCTGTAGTGATATATATGTACTGGTACATGTCATTTTACACTTCACTTGATAAAATGCATATCACTATTATCAGTACCGGTGCAATGCAGTTGTAAATTCATATATATTTGAAACATTAAAATTATCCTGCAGAATTAGCTAAAAGGTGATATAATATTATTGTTGAGGACTCTTCATCTCATTTGTTGTCTGGAAAATTAAATCTCTCTGTGGATGATGTTTTCATCAAAGGTGAAAAAGAAACAAGAGAAGAAAGATAAAAATTGTAAGGAGTTACAGAACATTGAGAATGGGGAAACTGATGAGGATTTCAAATTGAAAATTAGTGAACCATCAAATTATGTTAAATTTCTGCAGTTGACCCTTGAGGGGTCACAGTCAGATGATGAGGGGTCACACGGTGACCTTGACGGATACATAGAGGATGACATTGTTGGGGGGACATTTTTATCCGAGTGTGATGCAGATGTTGATGCATCTGATTTGACTGAAGCAGGTATATTGCACTGAAAAATAGATAATGTTTTGACATTTGATGAATGTTTTGAAATGTATTTGTTTATAAGTCAAACAGCATGATTGCTTGATTTGTATCAGTATTCTGTAAGGGTTATAACTAGGTTGACTATCTGCAGACATATTACGTAAGAGATACTCTTTTTTCAGATGAGCATTTGTTTGAGGAGGAGGAGGGGGCGACTCATGCGAAAGAGGAACCGATGACTGAGGAGGAGAAACAGAGGCAGATGGAGGAGTGGAAAGAGGAACTAGCCAGGGTAATTGTCATGTGATCAATGTCAGCATCTCACAAATTATAATGGCCCTGTTAGCAAATATTACTTATCATTGGGTCATATTTTGGCTGAAGTTTTTCATACCAATTGTATCTGGGGTGTCCAGGTATTGCAGTAGTAGCACACTCGCTTCTCAAATTCGATCCCCATAATCGACAAAGGTTGTTACCATCTTGGACACATGGGTTTTCTCAAAGAATTCCAGTTTCCTCCCACAGAAATGACCCCCTTGCACAAACATTCATCCAGAAGACCCTATTGGAAATAAGCTTTTGAGCTTTCATGGGCTATTCTTAGTTTCATATATTTGTTAGTAGGCCTTTGTTTTTATACAAAATTTAACTACAGAATATTCCATCCACCTGATCAGTACTTAGGGTTTACAACAACACAGACAGATGTACAGGGGATGCTTACTCCCCCTTAGCTCCTGATCCCATCTCTGGAATTTCAGAGTATCCATGTTTTGTGCCTTATCACAAACTGGTTTTGTAGGTAGAAATTTTTTGTAGATAAATCACTTTTCATTATCTTTATCTTTTTTCACTGTATGGACCAGTTAAACAAAAAAAATATTTCTAGAATAGCATACTTATCCAATAACATAGATAAAAAAACAAAAATGATTGTTAAGAAAAAAAGAAATGTTTTTTTATCCATATGATTAATGTATCATCACATCATCTTAAATAGATGGCTTATTTTTCTGTGTTCATTAGGTTGAAGGGGAGATAACCACACTCAGACAGGTTTTAGGATCCAAAGTGAGATATGCCTCTGAATTAAAGAGAAAGATGGGCATTACTCCATTCCAGGAGTTTAAGCACGACTTTTCGGAGGGTATAAAGTCCATCCAGCAGTCAGAGACGTAAGTACATAAGTATACGTAATATCATGTCTATCTCATCAGCTTTACTTGTATGTGTCACAACTTTTATCATTATGGGTACCTCCTGCCATAAACATGTTATTTATAGTATATGTGTTTGCTTGGATTTGATTTAACCATTAATTGATGGGTTAGGTTTTATTCAAAATAAGAATTCAAAAATCGTTCCTAAAAAGGGCAAGTACAGGTTTCTATTATCGGCTGTGCAATTAGTTAATTACTTTTTCAAGCATTAGAATTTAAAAACTGTCTGTTTATATAAATGCGCAGAAAGATCATTAAACCATTACCTGCAATAAAGATACAACACATGCATGCTGCCTTTAAAGCCTTAAATCGTGAACAAATGCCTTACTGCTGCTATGAATTGACATAAAAAAACAAAAATGGCTTCATTTGACACAAACATATTCTTTTTCCCTTGAGGAAATTTATTAAAATTCATTTGAAATCTTTTGTAATTTTCTTTGCTGTGATCACAAAAACTAAATTCACTTAGCTCCGAAGACTTCAATATATCGCACCTTCCATTAATTTTTCATAGCTGAAAAGATGTCAAGGATCAATTTGACCATGGATTCTATATGCCTTGATACATAGCCTAGAACTAAGTTTTATAGCAGCAAAAATTAATATACACATTAATGGATAGTAAGAAATTTGCAGTTGCTTTGTAATATTTTTATAAGGCCATAATAAAAATATTCCTAGATTCTCATTGATCGGGATCGATATTCATCAACCATTCTACTTTCGTTTTAAATCCCGCGAAAGTCGACACGATTTTGACAGCTGAAAAGATAGTAATTGCTGTAATACATGCGTATATATTTTAAACAAGGGTCATGGGTTGAAAAAGATTGGTGATGATGTGAATTAATAGATAATTGAACCTTTACTCTGACTTTTATTCGGGTATTGAGATGAAATTACACCGATTGACCAGGTCAATGAGAAATCTGCAAAATTGAAGAAATAAAAAATATAAAATAAATGCCGCCCACCAGCCTCGATTTTTAAAAAAATTCGGATGAGAATCTAGCAATTTATCTATTATGGCCTAAGCGCAAATTTTCAAGTTGATTTTTATTGTACCCTAGGTTCCAGAAGACAAATGAATCCCTTTCGAATCTCCAAGCCAAAATAACAGGCTCTACAGTGTAAGAATATGTGGTTTATACTGCATAATCGTACAATCAAGTTTGTTAAGCATATCAAAATGTTTGGCAATTTTGCACAAAAATGAAAATTTTACCTGATATTATAGACTAACAAATTAGATGCTTACACATAAAGGAAGACTTTTAATGTTACATTTAAGTGTTAATGAAATGATAGGTAATCTAAGTATTCTAATAAATAAATATCAGTAATATTTTAAACACATGACAATGCAAAACTGAAAATAAAAAAAAAAGAAAAGGACTGAAATTTTTCGAGGCATGTTTATTACTTATGTTTGCATGTGGATCAGTATATGGACATGCATAACAGTAACTGCTTTGCAGTGTTTAGAATGAATAATCATGATCCATGATATGCCAACAGACTTGGTTTCTTCCTGTAACAGCTTTCTTGCCTTATGTACAAATGCCAAGTCCCCATATCATGCTCCTTATAAGTCTGTGCTGCTAATGCTACTAGTGAAATGCTGCTATTCCACATTGGGCTAATTGGTCTTTCCCAGACTTTTTCTTATGCATTCTCTTACAATTTTGTGGGCAATTTTCTGGAATTTGGAGGGGTTTTTTTTTCTAACAATTTATTTCATTTTTGTATGAGGGTTGTCCCAGAAAGTCGTAGACAATGTTTATAATTTTTTAAACATGCGACTAATACTAACCAAATTTTGCATAGACATAATATATTCAATGTTCTTTAAAATTGTGAATTTTTAAGTATATATCTTTCATATTAATAATATTAGGACGATTTATATGAAGGTCGATAAGGCCTGTCGGCGCACGAACAAAATTCAGAATAATTTACGCAATTAACTATTACATTTGCTTTTAAGGAGTTAATTTTAAATGGCACAATATTCAATTAGAGTTTTACCTCTATACCGTGAATAGTTACGGCATGTAATAAGTAGAGTACTGTTTGTTAAACGCAGACTATTGGAAACAATCTTGATCGCGAACGACATCAAAAAATGTGTATTCTCTGCTGCCTACAATGTAACGCGATCTTTCTACTAAATTTCGACTGAAATTTGAATCGGATTAAAAAACAAACGGACAGTAGTGAATTTGAATAAGTCCCTTAGTCAAGAGTGGTCTATCACTTTAAAAAATATATTGAATGTTAATTTACGCGAGTGAGGCAGACAAAGAGATTGTGATGTTATATGAGACGTAATTTACGTTTGCTTTCATGCGCCAGTGTACACTTACATTCTATCTTTATTTTTACATAATTTTCTTATTAGATAGGATATCATCATGAAACTTGAAATGCATGATCATAAAATGTTACTTTTTGCTATGGCAAGGAAAGAAATTTAATTAAGCAAAGAGAAACTTAACTGTTTTCCATGTCTACAACTCTTTGAGACAACCCTCGTATTTTGCATGAAATATTATAATACCTGGTAAGCTTATATTTTTATTAAACATTTTATCAGCAGCAAAACTTGACATCAAGTATAAATAGAGGTATGAGCTTGAAACTTTTTTTTTACAGTAAAACTTTAATGAGGAAGAATTATAAGCTTGAGTTTTAAAAACATAGTTTAGGGAATAGAGATATCCCTTAACCATCTCATAGAGTTCTCTTGTTCAGTTTTTTTGTTTCTTTTTTTTTCTCTTTCTCTAAGCCTGCATAGAAGAAAATTAGCATTTGCTTAGAATGACCTTTTTGTTTCCTTTACAATAAGGACAACAGTGCCAAGTTGTAACAGTTGAAGTCTTCCTTTCAATAAGCATCAGTCATTTGTGTTACATGATTGGATGTGTATACTAACATGTGTGTGAGAGTTTTACTGATTGCTTCAGTTATTTTAGCTCTACAGAGACTGGACAAAGACCAGAAGAGATTAATTTATATGCAATTGGTAAAGGTTCAGTCTGCCAGCCAATCTCAACAATCTTTCTACATGTCAATACCATTGGGTTTTGTGGGAGGGGGGATAACATATGCAAGTAGTAATAAAAGATATCAATACATGTATTATTATTTTTTCTATTTTATATAAGTGTGGTCATTATTATAAGAAAGTTGTATTATTTATATTTGCTGCTTTGATGCAGGAATTTTCAATGGCAAGTAAAATTTCAAAGTAAAAAAAAAAATGCAGATACTTTAAATATAAAGCTATTTCAATAGGATAAAGACCAGTAGGGCTACAGTCTTGTCAAAGTCATAAGGTTTTATTTCTTTTCAGTTGTTTCTTTTAAAATTACCGTATATTTTTAGCTTTATCAGTGACTTGAAAAATTAAATGATAAAATTAATGACCAGACACTGCATAAGGTGATATGGTCCCATGCAAAGTAAATGTAATCACCAAAAGATAAACTAAAACTGTTGAAATTGGTATTAAATCAATTGCCTATAATTTAATTATTTAAACCAATAAAAAGATGTCATTGAATACTTGCTCCTGCAAGTTACTTGTCAATTCAAAGGCAAAGGTCAACATATAATACAGCATTCAAAATATTGCATGAAATATGGAGTACATTGCATCAAAATGTAACAATGTACTTGACATAAATGATGTTTAGTTTTATAATGAGAATGAAAGAGGTTTACTTAATTGATATTGAGACAAAGATGAAGGCATCAGTGACTATATAATGTGGAAACAAGCATAAACAATCAGAATTTCCCTTCCTGGTTTTCTTTAGCTTTTAGGCATATGATAAACACAAATTTTAAAGGTGATTCACAGCTGAAATAAATATATTCTGTATATCAATAACATTAAAGGTGAACACCAAATTCAAAAATTTTAGAAACATGAATATATTCCTGCTTGTTATCTTAACTGTGCTTTCCAAAGGGCAAAATATAATTTGGTAATTCTTTCATTATCAAAGATAACATATTAAAAGTATATATCATTTGAAAGCTTGTTAAATGTTTTTAATGCAATTGATTTTTTATCTGATTAATTATTATATTTTAATGTAAATATTAGCACATTTATATTTTATAAATCAACTTTTTTGTACACCTTTCAACATTAAAATTTTGCCTCCTGTAGATTAAAGATTGAATTTTAAAAATGTATCTGTTTTTTGATAAATCTCTCTATTCAAAAGTATATTTGTCTTTCATTGTTACTGATTTATTAGCCAAATTCTACAGTGCCACCCATAAATGAAAAAACTGTATATTTAAAAATTGCGCACAAAAAACACATTTGAGACGCTCGGCCAGTTTTCAGAGCAATTTATTTCTCCATGTTTTTAAAGCTATAATCTAAAAATATTACTAACCGTGTGTTCCTTACATATTCGTACATATTCTTGCGCTGTTTCCACAACCAAACATTCCTCATAATTGTTGTTAGTAATCCTCCAGACCCTGATATTGTAATCATCGACATTTTGCTTATTTATACTACCATTTTGGTTTTAAAGATAATTCGGTCCAATATACTTCGTCCCTGTATGTCAATTACTGATAACCTCTGTGTGGCTATAGAAGAATTTCCCAAGTGGTCACATTTTTTTGAAATCTTACAGACCAAATCAGAAGCTTATTTGCACACAGTGTTAGGTATATGAAAATAATTTCAATAATCAGAAAGAATTTTTCATGCATCATAAAGCAGTCATTAGCATTTTTTGTGCGCTCAAAATTGACAATAAAAAAGCCTTTTTTCCTTAACTGTGCTTCAGGCAAAGGTTAGGGTCTCACAATGATCTATCAATATATTTTTTGAAGCAATTGATTCTGATTAATTGATGATTGAAGCAGGTGTTACTGTACACATACATTATTTATCCTTTAGAGTGGTTTATTGCTGGAAACATTAGGTAGATTTGAAATTACACTATGAGAAGCATGTTAAATTTCAGAGACAACATGAAGGCAATATAACTTTTTATATCATAACAGAGATATTGAAATAGATATCTATTTTACAAGTTTGCAATACTGTGTGGATGGTTTATTTTGAGAGGACAAATACTTAGGGGATTGACTTTATTGTTTCAGGTATCAGAAAACAAATGAAAAACTTCATGATATAAATGACAAGATAACACATTCCACTGCGTGAGTAGTCCAGAGTGTGGCATGATTCCTCAGTAATGCTTGTCTTCGTTAGTTCTAATTAACCACTAATTGTTGTGTATTCTGTAATTCAGGCTTCAAAATTAACTTACTAGTACCTTTCCATCACAGTTGAAATCATGTTACAAAGCTTTTCAGGTATTTTTGACATGAGAAGTTGCACTAGTGCTGTGAATTTTCATTAATTTCCACTTTTTAGATTCAGATGAAATGAAAATTCAATATTCCTTTAATGATGCTTCATAACTTTAGCTTGGTCAAAAAAGGTGTAATAACCAACTTTTGACAAACTGTCATTTTCAATGAAAAAGTAAGAAAATTAGTCATGACATATCAAAAACAAAATGTATCCAGGCCTACAGGAAAACGGTAATTTGTATGTTCTTGGTCTTAATGTTAAATTTAATATAGTATGCAATTTCAAATTTATTTTCTACATTTTGGGGGCATGGATTGAAAGTGATTGTGAAACCACCAAAAAGTACATTTACTAGAATATTAAATTTGAAAAAGTATGCAATTTATTTTGGGCATTTTCAAAAACACACATTGAATATTACATTAAACTGATATACAAAGTGGTTGATACCTGATATCTGATCAAATATTGTAGATAGATAGCTTGTTGTAAAGTAACTACCTGCCCCTCTATATAGTCAAGTCCTCTGGGTAGATATATTCTTAACTTTTATTTTTAATAACTAACTTTATCTTATTCAATACATGTATATTGATAAAGACATGTATTTCATTTCCCTAAACATGCAGTTTAAAAAAAATGCAATAGTATAGTATAGCTTTTCAGAAATTGCTAATGTTTAAAATAAACAAGTGAATTTGAATTGATCATTTTTTATAAGCAATGCTGCTGATAAAATGACATGTATCAGCTCTTGTTCATAGATGTACATGTATTCAATACAGAATGGAAGCTGCAACCTTACATATTTAGCATATTCAGCTCAATTACAGCTTTCACTATATATATATACATGTATTTATGTTTGTGCCCATTAACTCTTAATCAGCATCTATGGGGACATGACTACATCCATCTATAAAATTATAATATTTTGCTGGATATTAACTGCTTATTTACAGTCAAACCTGATTATCTCAAACTCGGTGGAGCGGGAAAAACTTTGAGATATTGAAAATAACAAACCCAATGGAGCAAGAAAAACTTTGAGATATTGAAAATAAAATACTTGTCCAAATGAAGAGTTAATGGTTGGGACTCCCAGTCACTTCTGCACATCCATGGTGTTTGAGATATCAGTGTTTGAGATTTTTTTTATTTAGCCTAGATTATCTACTGAATATCATGGTGTGTTTTAATAACATGTACTTTTTTGGTGAAACATGATTATTACATGCACACATACCTGGTAAATCAGATGGTGAAATAATCAAATGTGCTATTAAATATTGTACCTACTTGATAATCAGTCCAGTATTGTATTTTCATGTATGCAGGCATGTAGTTTCTCTTTTGCAAGTTGGAGGGGCCAGCTAGAAAAAATAATTTGATAGCCTGTCTGAAAAATCTTTAACAAGCAGAAAGAATTTCAAATCTTTTCAGGAGTGGGAGTTATTAATGCACTACCAAGGGATACTTAGATTTTATATTATGTTTGGAAAATAGTGGCTGCCCCCTTTCTCCACCTAAACTACATGCCTTTTGCTAGGACAGGAAATGAGAAAAAAAAATTTTTATTTGAAATTCAGGTATATTCTTTTAAATCTTGATTCATATAGATTTAAGCTATATACACTATATTCACTTAGATTAATGAACAGTTCTCTTATTTTGAATCTTTAAAAGAAAAAAGTGTGAGTTGTAAATAAAATAATTGTTAATCTATTGTAGATACCAGAAGACCTCCTCTGCTATGAAGACTGCCTCTGAGAAGACTAACGAGACGGTGCGCAATGTGGCTTCTTCTGTCTCCAAGAAAATAGGAGACCTTAGGTATGTGTAGAATGTTGCTGAAAAAATGAGACCCTTAAGGAACGTGAGAGGCTTGTACTTTATAATACAGGCAGATACTGAAATGTTCCAGTTGAAAACAGAGACTTTTGCTATATTTCAGTTTTTCTTTCCTTCATTATTTCTCTTATGAATAACTTTGTAAAGAAGTAGATAATTGTTTCCAAAAATGGGAAAATTGAAATGTGTCAATTGTGAAATTATTTATTTATTTATTTTTTTTTTGTCTCTTACCATTTTACAAAAAAATATAAGCATTAGAAAGTTTCTGAATTTGTGAATATTTTTGCAGGAATTCTGGTACTTTTAAATCTATGGAAGAAAAGGTTGGAGGTGCTTATGCAAATGTGAAGGTGAGTTGAAATTGTGCAGTATTTAAATAAAGAGTCATTTGTCTTCAACAGTGCTAAATAATACAGTTATAATTTCATTTTACACAATATTTCATTAAAAAAAGATTATAGGAACTCCCAGTGAGACTTCTTTTGATTTCATTTCCAAATTTCACAAAATTATATAAAAATGGTTTCCAGATAACAACTTTTATTTTTCTATGAGCTTTTGCAAGGAAATTCATTACAGCTCGCAGTGATTTTAAAAAAAGATTTTGAGGTCAAAAGGTCAAGGTCAAAAATTTATATCCATAGAATATTTTATAGATATAAGTGTTCTTTCATGTTTTCTTAACCTTTCATACTTGTTTATATCCACCTAATAGCTAAGCTAGAAAATTCACCATCATTTTTAGCTCACCTGAGCCAAAGGCTCAAGTGAGCTTTTCTGATCAAAATTTGTCCGTTGTCTGTCGTCGTCGTTGTTGTCGGCGTCGTTGTTGTAAACTTTTCTTATTTTCATCTTCATCTCAAGAACTACTGGGCCAATTTCAACCAAACTTGCTACAAAGTATCCTTGGGTAAAGGGGATTCAAGTTTCTTCAAATGAAGGGCCATGCCCTTTTCCAAGGGGATTTAGAAATCTTTTTAAAAAATCTTCTTCTCAAGATTTCTTGTGGAATCATCCTCAGGTAGTGTAGATTCAAATTTGTTCAAAATGACCCCTTAGGGTATATCCAATGGAGTATAAAATAAAAATTTTTCTTCTTCTCAAGAACCGCTGGGCCTGGAAAGATGAAACTGTGGAATCATCCTCAGGTAGTGTATATATTTGTTCAAATCATGACCCCTGAAAATATTTTTACATAGGAATATATAGGAAAAATCTTTAAAAATCTTCTTCTCAAGAACCATTTAGACAGAAAAAATAAAACTCATGTGAAATCATGCTTAGGTAGTGTAGATTCAAATTTGTTCAAATCATGACCCCAGGGGCTAGGGTGGGGCCATAATGGCCGTTAAAAGTTTTACATAGGAACATATAGGAAAAATCTTTAAAAATCTTCTTCTCAAGAACCACAGGGCCAGGAAAGATGAAACTAATGTGGAATCATCCTCAGGTAGTGTAGATTCAACTTTGTTCAAATCATGACCCGCAGGGCTAGGGTGGGGCCAAAATGGCCGACCAAAGTTTTATACAGGAATTAAATAGGGAAATCTTTTAAAATCTTTTTTTCAAGTACTTCAAAGCCATGATTAGTGATATTTATATGGAATCATCCATTTAATTCTAGTTTGTTCTAAACTCAGTAAACTTTCAGTTCTGATCTGATATGTGCTTTTTCCTTGCCGATGTTCTCAGGTGAGCGCTGTGGCCCCAGGGCCTCTTGTTTAATATCCTACTAACAGTACGGTACAATCATATTGCTGAATGTTCCAGTTAAATTTTAATACAATAAATTGACCATGCATGTTAAGATATGTTCACAACAAAAGAGCAGTTATTTAACTTTGGGTGGTTTTGAACATATACATTTGCTCAAACCAAAGGCTAATGATGATAGACAATCTATTTAATATAGACATCCAGATCTATAGAAAGTTTGAAGGAGAGAATTGGATTTGTGAGTGAATCTGAATCAGTGTTGTCTTTTACAGAGTATAAATATTTCTATACCAAAATGACCTTACACATTTTTTTGTTAGATTTTAGTTTAGAGCACCTAAATCCATTTAAAGAATTGCTGTAAATCATTCAAGATTTTGTTTTGGAATTTCTGTTCAGTAGCCATATTTTTCAAAAGATATATAGATAGTAGTTATTATGCACAATATTATTACTTTTATATGTATTGTAACTGAAAAACATGTGTTCCATATGTATTTTTGTGGTATTGTTATTAAGTGCATGCAGTGAATTTCACAGTCATTATTTGCTACCAGTGTATAAAATTATTTAACCTCTTTTTATCCTGCACATGAAGAAAGGCCCTGTATCAAAATGCAGGTTGGCTGAGAACTCACGCTGTCTGTTTGTCCACCAATCTGTCATGCTTCAGTGAAACAGAATATATAAAGAGCTTTTATATTTTTTACATCAAAATGTGATTAAATTATATTATGTCTATGTTATTTTATGAATCAATGTGTCTCATTTTCAATTGTCAACAGTCAGCTAAACAAGATTAATACACTTGTATGTCCATGAGTTCTATTTTATATGATAATGCTTCATACTTATGGGTCCAATTTTATTATCACTTTCTGTCAAATTATGCAAAAAAAATAAAAATCACCTTTAAAATTTGAGTTCACTTAGTCATAGGTCAAGGTCATTGTCATTAAAGATTTGTCAGATTCCTTGTTGCTTTTAATTTTGTATTCCTTAAAAGACACAAAAACTATTATTTCTTGTACCCGAGAACTCTATTGGGAACATAATACATGTATACTTATTAACTATATTTTTCAAAACTTGTATTTTGTATGAAAAGTTAATATTTAGCTTCTAACTTACTAGTTACAAGTATAAAATAGAAATCATAAGTTATCGCACAAGTTTCTACAAAATACTTAATACTGAAATGACTTTTGTAGGCCAAAGTAACAGGAAGCAAATCGGAAGATAATTTTGAGAGTGCTCTTCAGAAGGATACGGAAGGCAATAATTCTGCTAACGGAGGCCAGCCCACATCCTTACCCGAGGAGAAAGTCCCTCTCTAAAGAAGTTGTCTGTCGTTTAATGTTCTTGTTACAACACAATTCATCTGCACTGCTTCACAACAGTGGCTTCTGAATTGAATTGACATGTAAATTAATTGACCAAAGTCTATAAAATTGTACATGTACGTATGCTGTAGGTTAAAAATCATGCTGCTTTAAAAGTGCATTTCTGTGTAAATGTAAGCATTAGTCAAATATTTATTTAAATTATAAATAAGTCCAAAAAAAAAAAAAGATGTGAATAATGATAACTAGTAAAAAAAATTGCTGAAAATTATTTCAAGAAATTTTTAAAAATTCACAGACACTTGCATTTTCAGTTACTGATTTTTCTATAACTTATTCAGTGATACCATAGTCTGTGATGTTAATAAAAATTGTTGTTAATTTATACTACTGCATTTATTCTGCAATAACATTTGTTTTTGATATAAAGTGCAGTCAATGTAGCATATTTTTTAATCTTAATTTATTACATAGAACATCACATTTTCGAGCATTAGTTTTCTAGTTGCATTATTGTGTACATTTTTCCCCAAGCATTTTGTTTAAGATTTTCATTCTCATTCATTTAATTAACAAGTTGTTGGACATCAAGAAAAATAGTCACTGTGGCAGTTATTTTTGCAATATATGTTTAGCTCTTTAAAGGTAGATAACTCTGACCAAATGTTCATATTTAAAATAATCATTTACAAGTTGGTGTTGAAACAACATTTAGATAGTTATGTACCTGTAAACATTGCTTATGGTGCTTGTTGACTGTGTAAATTATATGATTTAGAATTTCCAACATTCAGCTATCACTATCACAGCTTAGTACGTTCTGCATATTTATAGATGTCTTGAATGTGCTTTTTTCACATTTCTGTTCCAATTTTTAATAAAATACCAGTATAAGAAACATATAAAAATCTGCATTATCAGTAACTTTTGGAAGTGGACATGTAAGTACATATAGCTTCAAGTGGAGAGAGAAAATGTGTACATGTATAATCTAAGTAAACATGAGTAGTTGGATACTGTAAATAACGGGTGATACAGTACTAAAATATATTTTATTCAAAGTTAAAGGGTAATAACTATGTGAAGGTTCAGAATTAGACTGCTCAGAAATGAAATAGTGTAGGGACATAATAAATATCTTGCCTTGCATGTGTTAAGTTTTTGGCTGTGATAAACAAAAGCAATCTAATTATACATTTAAAAATAATTTGAAAGATGTGATGGTATATTTTTATATGAAGATTGCATGGATTTCAACATCTTCAAATGCATGTATTTTCCTCTATTTTAATAGAAAGCTCAGTTGAAATTCCTTTACAAAGTTACATTGTAAACTTTTGATGAATATATGGCACTTTAATTTTATTTCAAGAAACTTGTATTGGGGAATTTGCATATAGTAATGGGGAGTTGAGAGGAGGAGTAAAAGCTAAGTGTATTATGTAACCATTAGTCAGCCTTTTTCTCATTTAATCTTCTGGTTAAGGGATAAACATACAGCGTCTTCCATCTTGCTTCTGTCTGTCTCTCTATCCCAGCAACTGTCCACAGTATTCTCAAAACCCATGAACAGTTGAGGTGTCAGCGATATCATAAAGATTGTAATGTGTATTTGTACCAGAAATGAAATGCGTCTGTTCAGCTTTCTGTAAAGCAGATTACATTTGTGGAGCAATTGTATATAAATACTATTTCTAAATCCCTTTTCTGTCAGTGCTATTACTACAGTTGTAATATTAATGTATTCATTCCTGTGTTTATAATGTTATAAATTATATCATATGAGAAATAAAATGTGAGTAAGTTGCAGTCTGTAATAATGAATTTGTATTCAAATCATCTCAACTGGTCATCATTTCCAGATGCTAGTCTTTTGAGTGTCTTTATTAGCAGATTGAGCACATGACTGGATATTTTGGAGGCCCAGGCTCAAATCCCAGTCTGGTCATTCCATTTTTCTCTTCTTGAGAAAAGATGCTTACTTGAAAAGTTTAGACTTTGACAACAGGCAAAAACTCACTTAGCTTTCAGCTTGTGCAAGTAATTAAATGGTTCCCTTTTTGCAAGGGTTAATTTATCCAGATTTTTGCCAAAAGAGCGTTGCAATACAAAGTCTTTTCACCATGCTTTCTAAAAACTACAAAAATTGTAGAGCTATATGCTCACTTATCCTCTCCATAACAAGGAGTACACGAAAGCAAATCATTTAGGTATATAAAATTTATTTCCATGAAAGAAATGAATGACAGTCCACTGTGAATGAAGAAATGACCCTCTTTATATAACCACATTAACAACCAGAGCACTCTTTTGCTGTAAAAAATTTCAACAGACTCAAGTATTAAATACTGAAAATAAAAGTTTTGATTTTTTTTCTAACATTTATACCACTAAAGAAAAGTACATAAAAATCATATATTCCATTTTCATTTTCAAACAGTCTTACTTGTAAACAAAGGAAAAAAATAAGTTTAAAAAAATTCACAGAGAAAGTATAAACAAATACATACAAAACATAAAAATAAATTTATTTTGTAATTTATTAACTTCTAATATATTACTTTAGATTCACACTTTCTTCTCGCCTTTTCTGAAAAAGAAGAAGAAAAAAAACAATTAAATGAGAACATTGTAAGTTTAACATGACAACTTACAGTACCTTTTCCAATTTCCTTTTCAATTTTTTCATACACATTAAGAAAGCTCCATTCTCTGTAAAGAATACTTATTTGCTATCTCAACTTTCTAGTCCAGGTGAGCTAAAATTAATCTGATGCAAGACCAACCTTTTTGAAGCTATTCCACTTAATAATCTATTTCCAAATATGAATGTTGGCAGTGCTAGTGCCCCCAGATATCGAATGGTTTGGAACATGTTAAGCTGGACCCAGTAAAGGTAGTACAATCCAAAGATGCCTAAAATGAAACAGTTTATCAAGTTAAGTACACAACAAAATGATCCAGAGCATTCAAAGGTTTTTTTCATAAAGATAAATAGACATAAAGATCATGGAGGCTAAAAAGTTTGTAAAGAAGCCTCAATATTTATTGGAGACAATCATAGTCTTGAGTATCTTGATACTTCACTTCCCAGTCAATTCATGAAGAAGAAAATTTACAAATTGTTATTAACATTTATATAAGATCCAATTCATCAATCAGAATGCTGTTTAGATAAATGTTAAGAATTAGGTAATTATTTATAACACATTCTCCTCTCAAAGCATACAGGTATTTCATGTTAAAAATGCATCTTTACTGACCTGCAAGACAGATGTGGAATCCAAGGGCACTGATGGACATAGGGAAATTAGAAACATTGATTCCAATCTTTATCCACTGAAAAAGAACACATTATATATAAAATCTGATAAGCTTGTTGATTTTAATAATTTCAAGACCTTACTCATCAGCACATAGAAATTGAACTTTAAATATATACAAACATGTACCAACATTTGTAAATGACTACAAAGTACATGTAATAACAAATATCAAGATAATTCTCAAAAGTCACATTTTAAAGTTCAAAGACTGTAATAAATGTCAATTTTAGTTACACCCAAAATGTGAGCACTGAGCAAGATAAAATCATGCTTCTCATTTACATATCCAAAGATAAATTTCTCTGATTTGGACAGAAATAACCTGAAAACTTGAATCTAAAAATAAAGAGTTAAGTCTTACCAAAAGTACAAGAATAAGAACAGGTGCTAGGACAAGGGCAGTGAACACTGTGGATACAGCTGCCGGGGGTCGCTTCTCGGGCTCTCGGAACATGTGCTGAAAGAGAGAAATTCCACCATTCAAATACCAGAAAATTTTAACAACCATGAAAAAATCTGTATTCTAGCTTACTGAATGTAAAGTACCACTTTTTTGCATATATTTTAGACAAGTAGAGGAGTATGGACACATTGATTTTCCAGGGTTATTTTTACCTTTTCACACTCACAGATGGTTTAATTCACCCAGTGATATCTCCGCCTTCTTTGAAATTGTTCAATTTTAAATTTGCCCACTTTTGATGAGGGGGAGCAAAAATATAACAGAAACAAAAATACGCCCTCATACATTATTTAACTTATGAAATCTTGCTGGCTTTTACCTTGATTTCTGGTTTCTTTGCATAGCGATCAGCTGATTTCTGTTTTGGTGCCTGGCCCTCTGGGAAGTTCAAGTTAACCTCACCCTGCAAGAACAAATGATATAAAGATCATGTACATAAATATAATCAAAGGCCTGAAGGGCCACAATGGCACCGCGCTTTAGATATGGCAGTGATACTGTGAAATTATTGGATTTCAAAGCGTGTTTAAAAGTATGCATACATCTACAGAATTATATGGCTTAGTTGTATATCTAGATAAAATACTCCGATTTAAGCATTTATGAAATAAAAGCATTCAACTCATTAATCTGAGATTCCTCTGACTCTAACCCCTGCTTTTATATTGTGACTTGTGCAGGTGTTATTATATAGGTCCCTGGTGCTAACTTTGAAAGTAATTCAAATTTGAAATTACTTTTCCTCTCTCTTAGGCATAATTATTTTAATTAACAAGTGCAATGTGTACTAAATGTACAGTAAGACCTACACTGTCTTCGATCACTTTATTTTATGTAATGAAAGTTCCAAGATTCCTTGACATGTAACGTTACATAAATATTGTTTCTCTGTCTCTTTGTTCAAATTTATCCTGCGGGTCCTGATAACAATCTTGTTCTATCGGAAGCCATTTTAAATTTTGATTTGTCTAAACAATACTAGTTAATTGTTTACACCTGCGCTGATAATTCACTGGCCTACTGCACATAGTCATCGGCATTGTTTACGTAGATCAAGCTTGGGTTGCAACTGGAAGTTAAAAGTACAACCTAATTTACGAACCAAATCCGGAAATCGTGGATTCGGGCGACAAGTATGACCCACCATATCATATAAAAATAATCAGGTTAAGGGTCAAAAAGTAACCCGACAAAAGTGGGTGAGTTGGCAGCTATGTATAGGACTGTTGAAGTTGTATGATTTTCAAGTAATTTATGGAATAAACACAAAAATTGGCATGTATATTCCTATGCCAGATACATGAAGTTCTTGGTTCAGGGCATATGAAGAAAGCGGTGATTTAAATATCATCATAAAAACTACTTTTGTTTTAAAATATTTTCATTACTTTGTGTAATATAAATGTACCCTGTATGGTTTTTCTCCCCAGTCATCATCACAAAGTGACATCTGAGAAGGTGATGGAATATACAGGGTCCTGTCCACACCTGACCCCCAGGGGTCAGGGGACAAGGTTACTCTCCAATGATGTGGAAAGGGAATATACCTCCAGTCTCCAAAGAGACATTCAGCTCCCATACGCCACACAGACAACTTCCTCCACAGTCAGACAGAGTCCAACTGGGGGAAACGTGTCAACATTGGTTTAGAAATTAAAGATAGTCACTTAGAATTTTACTTACAATGACCCATGAGAACGGATTCTCAATAACAGCATCCCCAATGATCAGCTCCATGCTGTATTTTCCAGAGAGATATCCAAACTGACTAGAACTGCTGCCAATATCCTAAAATTACCAACATTAATATTATACTTTTCATACAAAAATAAGGCTGGTTGCCATTCATTTCAAACAATTTGTCATTATCTTTATCTTATTGCTTGAATCTCAGATCTTACCAAATCAAACTTGTTGCTGGCTGCATCTGCAACAAAAATGATTTCCTGGTTTGTCTCCTTGTTGGTAAGTTTCAGGAAAGTCTGAAAAATATAAATGTTTCTATAAACATGATCCCTCAGCTTTCTTTAGGCTCCAATCCTTATCAGCTAAGCATACTACTGAGGCCTGTTCAACAGAGCGAATGTTATGAGCCCTCGCAAACATTTCTGTTGGAGGGATAAGGAATTAAAGGAACATTCGCACTGTTGAACATGTCTCTGGTGTACTATGATGTTAATGCCCCACCTGGTGAGCAGACATCTTGCTGCCGTCAGCTTTATCCTTCAGCTGGAACTTTAGGATTATCTTCTGATGGTAGTCAGCCTCAAAGACATTGGATGCCTTGTTTGGGAACTGAAGTCTGAAACACAACAAAAATCAGCATAACTTGTGTGCAAAGAATCATTATTTTCTTGGGTTCTTATCTTGTTAATCTAATTCTGTACCCTGTATGGTTTTTCTCCCCAGTCATCATCACAAAGTGACATCTGAGAAGGTGATGGAATATACAGGGTCCTGTCCACACCTGACCCCCAGGGGTCAGGGGGCAAGGTCAATCTCCAATGATGTGGAAAGGGAATATACCTCCAGTCTCCAAGGAGACATTCAGCTCCCATACGCCACAAGACAACTTCCTCCACAGTCAAACAGAGTCCAACTGGGGGAAAGTGTCAACATTGGCAAAATATTTTTTAATACCTCAATTTTATGAGCCCATATTTTTTTCAAATGAATATACTTTGGTCTTCTGTTTAAAAAAAAAGATATTTCAGCTTTGTAAAGAAAATGTGGAATCCATGTTGATATTGCATTTACACAAAATTTAAAACGATATTTTCAATACTTGAATTGCTTTGTTTAGTGACAGAGAGCTTACTTTGTGGTTCTTGCTGCTGTAGTTTGGTCCCTATCTGCTATACCTATCTCTGCGTTCTCAATGGAAACTTGCGTAGTCACCTTTACTTCAACCTGTAAATGCAGAAAGAGACTTCATAAATTCCATTAAAAATAAATTGTGTTATTTATACCTGTAAATGCATTACAAAAATATGTTTGGAGACTCACACACTGTAAAATCT